GCGCCCTGAATCTGGAATCGCTCCACACCACGATTCCCTATACGCCGACCGTGGGAACCCGTGACGCCTCTGCACATATCTAGGACGGATTTGTTCGGCGGCAAGGCGAGAGCCACATGTTGAACATTGCCCACCCTCAGTGCGTGAATTTCTTTGCAGTGTGTTACGACGAATGCGCGCGGTGCTAGGGCGAGAGCATCATTTTGCAAACCGCCCGCCCTCCATCTGCGAAACCGTTCCTCATGTTGCAAGCTTCCGCATCAGAAGTGGTAACGAAGTCTCAGGGGAGAGACGCCCGCCCCGTCTTGCCGACTGGCCCCGAGGCGCGACAGGGAAGAGCTCTGCACCAGGATGAGTCGTGGAGGAGAAGGAGGCCGAGGAAGAGGAAGCGGAGGAGGAGAGGAGGCCCAGGAGGAACAGGCGGAGGAGGAGGCCGAGGATGGGGAGATGGAGGAGGAGGAGGAAATCACCGAGGATGAGAAGGAGGAACAGGAGGTCGAGGAGGAGTAGGCCGAGGAAGGGGAGGTGGAGGAGGAGGAGGAGTTTTTGTACAATCAACCACTCCAATACCACGCCGCGCAGTTGCGGATAGTCTTGCTCGACTCGTTGCAGTTTTCGACGGTGACGGCCCCCATGGCGAGGGGCAGGAAGGACGTGAAGTACACGTTCAAGACACACGAGCGGTGTAGCCATCGCATGCGTTTGCAATCCGCGCCGTGCACCTCAGAAAATCAAAAGGCAGCTAGCCGCTTGGGCCCCACCGCCAGCACAAACGACGAGCATCAGTCGGGCGTAGCCCCGCACCTATTCGAATGCCCACATTTCGTCCTCGTACTGCTCGGATTCCTCCTGTCCTCCTCCCCATCCTGATCGTCGTCGTCGTCTTTATCCTCCTCATCTTCCTCCTGCTGCAGCGACTTCTCGCCGTCCTCGTGGAGGATCACGTCCACGTTTCTCTTCTTCCTTCTGCTAATCCTCCCTCTCCTGGCACCTCGGCGACCGAGGATAAAAGCGTTGTCCATCGGTTGCGCCATAGGTTGCGCCATCGGCGGCCGAGTTTGAAGCAGTCTCCTATCGGTTGCGGCATAGGTTGCGCCCTTTGCGGTCGAGAATATATCCGTCTCCTATCGGTTGCGCCGTTAATTGCGCCCTCGGCAGCCGAGAATAGAATTGTTTTCCATCGGTTGCGCCATATGTTGCGCCCTCGGCGGCCGAGAACATAACCGTTTCTTATCGGTTGCAGCATAGGTTGCGCCGTTGGCGGCCGAGAATATAACCGTCTCCTTATCGGTTGCGTCACAGGCTGCGCCCTCGGCGGCTGATAGTTAAACCGTCTTCTTACCTTTGCTCCATAGGTCGCGACTTCGGCGGCCGAGAATAAAGCCGTTGTCGATCGGTTGCGCCATAGGTTGCGCTTTCGGCGGCCGAGACTAGAACCGTCTCCTATCGCATGCAGCATAGGGTGCGCCTTCGGTGGCCGATAATAAAACCGTCTCCTATCGGTTGCGGCATAGGTTGCGCCTTCGGCGACCGATAATACCACGGCTCCGATTGGTTGCGGCATAGGTTGTGACTTCGGCGGCCGAGAGTACAACCGTTTGCTATCGGTTGCGCCATAGGTTGCACCTTGGGCGTCCGAGAATAGAACGGTCTACTATCGGCCGCGCCATAGGTAGCGCCCTCGGCGGCCGAGAATAAAGCCGTCTCCTGTCCGTTGCGCCGTTAATTGCGCCTTCGGCGGCCGAGAATAAACCCGTTTCCTATCGGTTGCGCCATAGATTGCGCCTTGGGCGGCCGAGAATAAAACCGTCTGATTTCAGTTGCGGTATGGGTTGCGCCCTCGGCGGCCATAATACCGTCTCCTATCGGCTGTTGCATAGGTTGCGCTGTCGGCGGTCAAACATAAAACAGTCTCCCACTGATTGCGCCATAGGTAGCGCTCTCGGCGGCCGAGAATACAACCGTCTCCTATCGGTTGCGGCATAGGTTGCGCCCTCGGCGGCCGAGAATGAAACCGTTTCCTATCGATTGCGGCATAGGTTGCGCCCCCTGCGGCCGAGAGTGAAACCGTATTCCATCGGCGGCCGAGAATAAAATTGATTCCTATCGGTTGCGCCATATGTTGTGCCTTCGGCGGCCGAGAGCACAACCGTCTCCGATCGGTTGCGGCATAGGATGCGTCATCGGTGGCCGAGAATCAGACCGTTTCCTTATCGGTTGCGGCTTTAATTGCGTTCTCGGCGGCCGAGAATACAACCGTCTCCTCTTCTGCGCCATAGGTTGCGCCCCCTTCGGCCGAAAATAAAACCGTCTCTTTATCGGTTGCTACACAGGTTGCGCTTTCGGCGGCCGAGAATAGAACCGCCTCCCATCGGTTGCGCCATAGGTTGCGCCACTGGCGGCCGAGAACAAAACCGTCGCGTAACGTGTGCGACCAGTCTGTTCAGGTCAGTTCGTTCAGTTCATTTCAGTTCAGTTCAGTCCGTTTACCTCGCGAGAAAGAAATTCGGGCAACGACCGAAATCATCGTCACGTGCTTGAAAACACGTACCCTCAGCGAAAGAGATGGACGACGTGCCACGGAGCCGCACACACCGCTGACGGCTGCCGTACTGCCGCGAGGAACGCCCCTGAACACCAAAGGGCCCCGAGCTGCGGCAGGTGTCCGCGTGCGCGGGCAGCACGTCATCGTCGTTCCAGTCGTCGCAAGCAGGGCCAGCCCCACCCAAAGGGCCACCCACCGTGGACGGCTAGGACCCCACGATGAGAATCCCTTGCTCGCCCACGGCCTCCTTGTAGAAGCCGAGGCCGTCCTCGCTCGGGGGTGGACAGACCTCCTACCCTGACACGTCGACTAGCGCATTGGCCGTTCTCGCTCCGCGAGGGGGCGTCGCGGCCGTCATGTTTGCGGGGCCAGGTCCGTCGGTTTCGGTCCCAGGCCGCTTTCACGAAATGGAGGCTTACGAAAGGGAGGCTTGTCCACCGCCGACTCGCTGTCCGTCTCTGACGGGGAGGCGGAGCCCTTCGATGGAGCTCGCTGTGGGGGCACGAGGTGTGAGGGGTGTGCCGAAATGGACACGCGGAGGGCCATGGCAGGGGTGGAAGGAGGAGGAGGGGGCGAGGAGGAGGAGGAGGAGGAGGAGGAGCAGGAGGAGGGGGAGGGGGAGGAGGAGGTGGAGGAGGAGGGGGAGGAGGAGGTGGAGGAGGAGGAGGAGGAGGAGGAGGAACCACAATGTGCAGCAGCCCCCTGGTCGGAGGAGTGCACGGCGGGGGGGCGCCGGAGCCCTCGGCCTGCGGCCAAGAGCACCAGCTGCGCCGAGAGGCCTCTCGCCGAGCCTCCGCGACGGCGCTGCACACGTCGGAGGGTGCTGGCCGTGACGTGCAGCCGGGGCGCTGAAGAAGGAACCCTTCTCATTCACCACCCACCAAACCACCCCAACCCAACCCGAAGGCTCAGATTTACCCTCGATTTCTAGTGGGGGGAGGTCGGGAAACATCGAAAAAACACGCGTGGAACCCTTGCCCCCCCCAACCCGAAATTCGGGTCTTCGGGTTGGGTTGGGGTGGTCTGGTAGGTAGTCACTCATTGGGGAGGGGCACGGTGTTCCCTGATTGTTCTGCAGTTTGCCTTCTGTTTTCCTGAGGTTTTCCACGGCAGGTCGCAGTTCAACTTCGGGGAGGAAGGGGCGCCGTTCCTTATTTAGGGTTCCTCAGGTCAACGCCCCGACTGTAGTCGAGGTTGGCGACCGAGTGCAGCGCCGTGTTTCGGGCAGGACGAAAGGGGGGCATTGGGAGAGGGGGGGTTACGAAGTCTGCTGCATGCAGCTGGTTTCGGCCCCGTCGCCGGGCCCATTCCTCGAGAAAGGGCGCCTCCCCGCGCCGGGAGGCGCCGGGAAAGTCAGCTACGTGGGCCGAATCTCACACCCCCCTTTTGGTATCCCCCCCTTCGCCCGGCCCGAGAGGACGTCGAGGTCGTCTGGCATCTGCCGCGCCAGCAGAGCAGCCAAAGCAGGCGCCGCCGCCAGTAGCCTATCTGCCACCTCGTCCGCCACACCAGGCACACCTAACGCCTGCGAGAGTTTGGTCAGCACGCCGTTGAGTCGGGTCCCCTCCTCGGGCAGCTTGGTGATCGCTCTGTCTGCCGATGTGCGCGCCCAGGCACCGCGAGCCTTGCGATCGGCAGCTGAGCGGTGCATGTCATGACGATCAGAAACTGGGCGCGCATCACCCGCGCCCTCCCGCACTATCTCCTCAAGCGCAACGAGTGGACCCTCCAACTTCAGAACGCTGGGAACATGCCATTCCAGCTTGAGCAACAGGGCTGTCGCCCGCTGTGGAGCGGCTTGAACCAACGTGGCTACGGAGGAGGAGGAGGAGGAGGAGGAGGAGGAGGAGGCCGAGGAGCAGGCCGAGGAGGAGGAGGAGGAGGAGGAGGAGGAGGAGCAGGAGGAGGAGTCCGAGGAGGAGGAGGCCGAGGAGGAGGAGGAGGAGGCGGAGGAAGAGGAAGAGGAAGAGGAAGAGGAAGAGGAGAGTCATAGGAGGAGGCCGAGGAGTAGGCCGAGGAGGAGGAGGAGAGAGCAGGAGGGGAAGAGCAGGAGGAGGAGAGGAGGGAGGAGAGGAAGAGGAGGAGGAGGAGGAGGAGGAGGAGGAGCAGGCCAAGGAGGAGGAGGAGAGGAGGAGGAGGAGGAGGAGGAGAGAGGAGGGTGCGGAGGAGGAGGAGGAGGGAGGAGGAGGCAGGAGGAGGAGGAGGAGCAGGAGGAGGAGGATTGCGGAGGATGATGAGGAGGAGGCAGGAGGATTGGGAGGAGAGCAGGAGGAGCAGAAGGAGTAGGAGGAGGAGCAGGAGGAGCAGGCCGAGGAGGAGGAGTAGGCCGAGGAGGTGGTCGACGAGGAGGAGGCAGCTGGAGCGTGGGTGGTCAGATTTCGGCCGCCGTCCGCCCCCGCGAGGGCGGCCCGCGCCGCCGAGCGGCCGTGCGCGCCCGCCCCCCCCCCGGCGGCAGGGCAAGGCCAGCGACGGGAGCGTGCTCTATCTCGTCCTCCTGTGGATGGAGGCTCGGGGGCAACGTCAGGGGGGATGGGCTCAGGAGGAGGAGGAGGAAGAAGTCAGAGGAGGAAGTCTGAGGAGGAAGTGAGGAGGAGGAGGAGGAGGAGGAGGAGGAGAAGGGGGAAGAGGAGGAGGAGGAGGAGGAGGAGGAGGAGGAGGAGGAGGAGGAGGAGGAGGAGGGGGAGGAGGGGGAGCCCAGGATTGGCTGGGAGGAGCATCTTCTGCGTGTCGCGCTGGGGCGGCGTGCAGGGGTCCGCGAGGGCGCCGCTGGCGCTGCCCTGTGGAGCAGGCCCGGAGGCAGGGGCAATGATAGGGGGGGGGGGACAGGCTCAGGGGCTCGGGTGGCTGCCAGTTTCGAGGCTCCAGGTTTTTCTGGCGTTTTGGCTGGTGCTCAGCGGCTTTCGAGTCTCGGGGTGCCCTCCAGCGGCTGCACCTGGCCGAGGGCGCTCCGGGGGTGCCCAGATCGTCCCGAACGGCCGCTGGGGAGCGAGCTGTGGTCCGAGGACCAGGGTGCGACGTCGCAGCCCACCCCGCCGAGCAACGTGCGGGTCCGTCGCTGGATGGAAAACCTTTTTCGGCGACTGCAGTGGGTGTGGATTGCGGTCAGCTCCGTAGGGGCTTGCTGGTCACCGCGTTGCTCCAACGGTTTGATGGGGGCGCGGCAGGGATCTCTGTCGAGGTCCTCCTGCCTCCCGTGCGTGGACGGAGGGCCCTTCCGGGGCATGCCCGCGACGTACGTAACGCGACCACGACGGGAGGCTGCTCGCCACATTTCTTGCTTCCAGGGGCTCTCGCCGGGCCGCGTGGCGAGAAACATGAAACGTCTCACATGTCTGCGCTTGCTTCAGGAGGGAAAGAACCCACAGACACAATGAATCGTCGATTCCCCCGAAGATATTGGAAAATATGGGAAGTGGGGGGGAAGACAGAAAACCCAGAAAGCATGGGAAAATGCGCGGAATCCTGTTCTCTGTGTGCATTGAGTTGTGTGTCCTTTGGCCCCCTCGATTGTCTGCCGGCGTACACCCTCATGGGCAGGCGCAGCTTCAGGCAGGGACTCGGCACGATCAGATTGGAGACGGCAAGAACAAACTTGAGGACCAACGGCGACGACGACGACGACGACGACGACGGTGGCGGCGGCGGCTGCGGCGGCGGCGGCGGCTTCGACGACGGCGACGACGACGACGACGGCGTCGACCACGGCGACGGCGACGACGGCGGCGGCGGCGGCGGCGACGCTAATTGTGATGATTTTGGCATTGGTGGACCGGTCAGCAGCTTGAATTGGGTTCGCTGTCGGTGTCGTCGCAGACGTCATCCACGTGAGACGCGAGGCCGCCTGCCCAACAGCGGCCGCGGTTTGGTTTTGGACACATGTTTGGGCGTCGTGCCTGTCTTGGCTCAAGCCATATTGTCTCCAGGCGCACACGTGTGCACTCCGAGGGCGCACACATTTCTCACCGTATCTCCGTGGTACAGTCGACTTGCAGATGGCACATTTCTTTTTGATCGCTAGCCTTGTCGGGGCCCGCGGCGCGTCTGGTCTGGACTCAGCAGGCAACCTCCAGCTGGTGCTGCAAGCCAGGCAGAATTCGCACCGACAGCTATTGACGAGGAGGCAGCATGCCCAGGGCAGTGCGAGCTCGACGAGGTGCGCCGACACGCGGGACGACTGGAGGGACGACGCTGGTAAAAGTTGCAGTGAGTACGCGGCACTGGACGGTTACAACGACGCAGGCCAAAGCCTTCACTGCAGTACGTTCGGAAACGAGAATTCTTCACGCTTCGCGTACCCCCACCAGCCCATTCAGAAGCCCTGCCCACGAGAGTTGACGGGAACAGGGACGAAGGGACACATCTAGGGAAACAAAGCGAGCGTCCAGGATGAACCGAGATCTCTGGGAGCAAGGGGGTGGCCTTGGACGGCCTCTTCGGGCCATCCCTGGGGGCCGCGCGGGGGCGAGGGGAAGAGGGGCAGGAGGAAGAGGAGGATGAGGAGGATTGTCAAACCTGTCTTTTAAGGCACGGGTAATGTTTTACCGCTTCGTGCCCTAACAATAGTGGCATGTTACGTTCAATTCCAATTTTAATTAAAACATCAGAGAGCGCTGAAGTATCGGCAACCTAAATCATACTACCTTGCGTGGTGCAAACTGTTCGATATGCAATGCTAATTCAAGTGGGATGTAACCTGGAATGCATGAGTGAGGCCCCCCCGCGGCTGTGAAGCACGATGGCTTACAACTGCCTGGCCTCTTCCCAGAGGAGGACCGCCCCACGACCGTGAAGCGCAATGAGTTGCCCCGTGCCAATCCCCGTTTCCCATGGATGCAGCACTCATGAAGATGCGCCTACTGCCACGCCTATGCTGTGCAACACTCGCGCCACCACCCTCCACTGCGCGGCCTATGGCCACCCATGGCCTACACGCGGGCCCTTTTGCACGGCGGCTGCTAAGCCCCCCACCACCATGCCTGATGCGGCCACCAATGGCCCGCGTGCTACTGCACAAACCCCAGGCCTGTTACGGTCTACTACAGTTTGCGAACTACCAACATGTCAAAGCATGAACCTACCTGACTACTCCTCCAAGACGTGGCCGGGGGGCGGGGCCAGAAGGAGGGGGAGGTGAAGGAATAGGGGAAGGGCGAAGGGGAGGAGGAGGGAACCGAGCAGCTACGGAACACTCTCCACAAGAATTCCCGCAACCCCATCGCGACGTTCTCAGTCCTAAACGAGGCTGCGCATGAGTTATCCCACTTCGTGGGATGACTGTGTCGGAGCTAACCTACTCGAACGCAATGCTGGGCGATCGTTTTCGGCCAAGCTAGATGTTACCAAAATCCCCCCCCCCCCTTCGATCAAACGCAACGCTGGGGGGACCGTTTTCGGCAAAGCTGGATGTTAACAAACTTCCCCCCCCCTTCGAGCAGGGTGGGGGCATTTTGTTAAGTGCAGCCTCATGACGTAATCCCCCCAACACTTTCAACGCCGTCCGCATGCTCTAATCAACCAAGAGGCACCGCAGCAGTGGTGGACCCGCGCTCTATGCGCACGATTTCTATGGATGACCATTCACTCCATACGCGATACCCTATCCGATGGAGGCACGTGTGAATAACCGTGGCGGTACCCGCCCACTTCTTCAACCGCTTCGTGCCCTAACACTGGTGGCATGCTATGTTCAATTCCAATTCCAGCTTAAACATCAGAAAGCACTGAATTATCAGCAACCTAGATCATGCTACCTTGCGTGGTGCAAACTGTTTGATATGCAATGCTAATTCAAGTGGTGTGTAACCTGGAATGCACGAGTAAGGTCCCCCCACGGCTGTGAAGCAGGATAGATTACAACTGCCTGGCCTCTTCCCGGAGGAGGACCGCCCCACGACTGTGAAGCGCAATTTCGTTGCCTCGTGCCAATCCCCGTTTCCCATGGATGCAACACTCATGAAGATGCGCCTACTACCACGCCTATGCTGTGCAACACTCGCGCCAATGCCCTCCACTGCACGGCCTATGGCCATCCATGGCCTACACGCGGGCCCTTTTGCACGGCAGCTGCTAAGCCCCCCACCACCATGCCTGATACGGCCACCAATGGCCCGCGTGCTACTGCGCAGACCCCAGGCTTGTTACGGCCTACTATGGTCTGCGAACTATCAACATGTCAAAGCATCAACCTACCCGGCTACTCCTCCACGACGTGGCCGGGGGACGGGGCCAGAAGCAGGAGGAGGAGGAATAGGAGAAGGAAGAAGAGCAGTAGGAGGAGGAGCCAGATAACGCAATACCAGACAAGAGACGCCTCTTCCATATTTACATGGGACATCTTCCAATGCGCGGGGACTGCGTGTCCCATCAACCGAGACTGTGCGTCCCATTTACCAGGACCGTCTGTCCCATCAACCGAGACTGCGCCATTTGCCAGGACTGTGTGTCCCATAAGCGAGACTGTGCGTCCCGTTCGCCAGGACTGCGTGTCCCATAACAGGGGCTGCGCGTCCCATTTGCAAGGACTGCGTGTCCCATAGCAGGGACTGCGCGTCCCATTTGATTTATCAGGGCTGTGTGTCCCATAGCCCATAGCTGGGACTGCGTGTCCCATACGCCTGCCCTCTGGGAGGACCGCCCCATAGGCCATAGGGCATAAGGGCTGGAAGGCTGGAATGCGGGTCGCACAGCATCACATCACAACCGCATCGCAATGCCCTTTGGTATCAATTATGGCTTGCGCACTATCAAGATGGCAACTACTGCACCTACCTTACTACTCCCCTCTGCGTGTCTGGGGGTGGGGTCCTACTCGGGGATCTTTCTCGCTTCAACGTGGCATACCGCTGCTGGGATACGTGAATCGACGGGGTTGTCCCAATCTCACCCTCCTCGGCGTGGCTGGGGAGTGAGATTCGCCCCAGCCCACGCTCATCGCTGTAATCAAGGGAGTTCGGGGTGCTGTAACTTCATTTGGATAGAGGAAGAGGGGTGCTTCTGGCGCTTCCGGGAACAGCCCGGAGGCGCCAATCCCAAAATCGAGGCGTTGCACGGAAGGACCCGAACCCCTCACGGGTACAGAAGGATGCATGGGTGCTTTACAACGATCAAAGATGATGCTGACAACAGCCCTAGGGCTACCTTCTCTCCTTGATCCGGCAGTTGTACATGTAATCATTCACCGCTGGGTGAGGTGATGGGCGTCTCAGGTGCCAGGCAGAAATTGCTGCAGTTTCTGTGGCACTATTTCGCAACAGCCCACGCTCGACAAACCTACCCAGATGCCCCCTCTTGGCGTGGCTGGGGAATGGAATTCGCCCCACCCCCCCCGGCGTGGCTGGGGAATGGAATTCGCCCCGTCCCACTCTCGACCTTCCCTCTTGCCCTTAGAGCTTGTGCATTCCGTTCTGCCCTTGATTTATGGCCTGAGCACTGTCAAAATGTCAACGCATGACCCTACCTCACTACTCCCCCACGGCGTGGCTGGGGATCGGGGTCGGAGTAACGTAAATCTACCCTCAAAGAGATCATTCACATTAACATGTCCACATGCATGTGTCGAACACACATGCCGATCGACAGCCCGTTGGCCTATGTCGCCATGGTGGCGAAACCCCAGTGCGCTCAGGGGAGGTGCTCTTCGGAGATCCCCCATCTCCTTACAGGCCGCCCCGTGCGTCCTCCCCGAAAACACCAGACTGGGGCCATTTACACCTTCGGCACGGGGAGGAGGAGGAGGAGGAGGAGGAGGAGGAGGAGGAGGAGGCCTCTTGGGCGCCTCTTGAGGCACTCTTGGGGCCTCCTGGGAGCTTCCTGGGGGCCTTATGGAGGGCTTTCGGTGGCCTTTGGGGGCTTCTTGGGGGCCTCCTTGGGCCGTTTGGGGCCCTCCTGGGGCCGTCTTGGGGGCTTTTGCGCCCGTCATGGGGCCATCTTGGACGCCTCTTGGGCGAGCTTGGGGGCCTCTTGCGCCGTCTTGAGCCGTCGGAATGCTGAGAAGAAGCAAATGCCAAGATCTTTCAACCACCTACGGAAAATATATGATTTGGGCCTTTTTCGGGCCCTCCTTGAAAACCTCCTGGACGCCTTTGGGCCGTTTTGGAGGCCTCTTGGGGGCATCTTTTTGGGCCTTCTTGCGCCATCTTGAGGCCATCTTAGTCCGTATTGGGTGCATATTGGGCCGTCTTGGAGGCATCTTGGGGCCATTTTAGCCGTCTTGGAGGTCATCTTGGCCGTCTGGGGGGCCTCTTGGGCCCTCTTGGGGCCGTCTTGGGGGCCTCTTGGGCCGTCATGGGGCCATCTTGGAGGCCTCGTGGGCGATCTTGGGGGCCTCTTGGGCTGTCTTGAGCCGTCGGAATACTGAAAAGAAGCAGATGCCAAGATCTTTCAAACACCGAAACACAACACATGATTATGGCCTCTCCGGGCCCTCCTGGAGGACCTCTTGGAGGCCTTTTTGGGCCGTTTTGGAGGCCTTTTGTTGGGCCGTCTCGGGCCATCTGAAGTGCATCTTCGGCCGTCTTGGAGGCATCTTGGGGCCATCTTGGCGGTCTTGGATGCCATCTTGGGCGTTTTGGAGGCCTCTGGGGCCGTCTTGGGGGCCTCTTGGGGCCCTCTTGGGGCTCTCTTGGGGCCTTTTTTGGAGCCCTGGAAGGCCTCTTGGAGCCATCTTGAAGGCTATCGATCAAAGGAGGAGCTGGGACAACGTTCAGCCCCCCCCCAAAGAAGCCAAAATGGGGCCACAACCACCGTAAAACCAATGATTTTGGCGCCCAGAGGGCCAGTGGGATAACGTTTCACCCCCCAAAGCAGGCCAAAATGGGACCACAACCGTACTAAAACCAATGATTTTGGCGCCCAGAGTGCTGGTGGGACATTTTTCAGCCCCCCCCAAGAGGCCAACATGGGGCCCAAACCTGAGGAAAACCAATGAGATTGGCTTCCTCGCCGAGGCCGTTTTGGACGGCCTGACACCTCGTGGGCTCCCCCAAAAAAGTCCAGGGGAGGGGTAAGGGGAGGGGTAAACCCCTCCCCGTAGGGGAAGAGGGTTTTTTTTGGAAGAGGGAAGAGGAATCTCGTTAGACCACCTGTCGCCCAAAGGGCTGGTGGGATTACGGCTACGGCAGGGCCAATGACGTTTGCTGCGACTGCGGCGGCGGCAACGGGGATCCAACCCCGATCCCGACGCCGAGCTCCACGCCCAGTCCCACGCCCAGTCCCACACCCAGTCCTACGCCCAGCCCGTCGCCCAGCCCAACGCCCAGCCCACCGCAAGCGTCGCCAGCCGCCGCTACCGGCGATCCACACCTGCAGAACATGTTCGGTCAGCGGTTCGACTTGGCGAGGCCGGGCACGTCTGTCTTGGTCAGTGTTCCACGCGGAACGCCCGTCGAGGACGCGCTGCTTGTTGTAAAGGCCGATGCGCGTCGATTTGGGGCACATTGCTCGGACATGTATCCAGGAGATCAACGTCACAGGGGCGTGGGCGAACAAGGCGCGGCCTGGGGGCTTCCACTTCGACGCTCGCGGTGCGCGAGACGAGACGCCGAAGTGGGTGAAACTCGGGCCGGTGGAGCTCAAAGTCGGCAACGGTCATACCGACAAGGGGCAGCATTATCTGAACGTCTACGTCAAGAACCTTCAGCGCGTTGGGTTTATTGTCGGAGGGCTGCTGGGAGAGGATGACCACGCGGAGGCTGCGGCGCCTGAGGAAGGGTGCCAGAAGACGCTGTCACTGAAGGCTCGCCCGTATGGTGAAGTTGCGCATGGACAGGGCTCCGTCGCAATCGGATACTGAGCCGAGAGCTCCCGGCTCCGCGCGGCGCGCTCGAGGCCGCTCGCGATAGGACGGCTCGCCGGCCAGTCGCCGGCCACCCGTTCTTCGCGAGACGAATAGTATTATGGACGCGCCAGATGCCTCCAATATTGTGTTTGGCTGAGAAGAGCCCATACTTGTCCCTTCTGCTTTCCCCGCCGATTAGGTCGTCTCGGATGCATCACGGCTTATTCGGTTGAGAAGAGCCGGAGCTGTGGGACCGCTGACTTAGCAGGCGATTCTTGAAATTGGCGCCCGTTTCGTCTTCACACAGCATCACCGAACATATCATAACATGACATCAGAGCATAGCGGCACGTGTTGACAGAGCAGGTCATGATCTATTTGCCAGAGCCGAGCCGTCAAACAACATACTAGCACATAACACGCCAGAGCATAACATGACATAACAGACGACGGCGATAACATACAACAGAAGTGAACCTAACCGAGCTAAACAAAACACACCGTGACGTAACGTATCATATCATATCATGCCAGCATCAAATGACATACCTATACGACCACCCTTCGGGTGATAAGGAGGTGAGGGGGGAGGAGGCACCAACGTGTCACTCAATACATCTCGCAACCGATCCCACTATCGATCTCACTATCGATATCACTCGATCGATCTCACTATCGATCTCACTATCGATGTCACAATCGGTCTCACAACCGATATCATTATTGATCTGATTCAGTCGATCTCACTATCGATCTCACTACCGATCTCACATTCCGTTTCACTATCGATCTCACAATCGATCGCACACTCGGTCTCGCATTCGGTCTCATTATCGATCTCACTATCGATCTCACCATCGATCCCACATTCGGTCTCATGATCGATCTCGCTATCGACCGCACTATCGATCTCACTATCGATCTCACTATAGATCTGACAATCGATTTTACCCCACAATCGATCTCACTATCGATCTCACTATCGATCTCACTATCGATTTCACATTCGGTCTCACTATGGAACTGACGATCGATATCACAATCAATCTCACAATCGATCTCACAATCGGTCTCACTATCGATCTTTCAATCGATCTCATAATCGGTCTCACTAAGGATCTCACAATCGATCTAACTATCGATTTCACAATCGATCTCACTATCGATCCCACTATCGATCTCACTATCGATCTCACAATCGATCTCACTTTCGGTGTCACTTTCAATTTCACGATCGATCTCACTATCGATCTCACTATCGATCTCACTACCGATCCAACATTCGGTTTCACATTCGGTCTCACAATCGATCTCACTATCGATCTCACCATCGATCTCACTATCGATCCCATTATCAGACCATGGACCTCACAGTATATCTCACTATCGATCTCACTATCGATCTCACATTCGGTCTCACTATCGATCTCAATCGATATCACATTCGATCTTACAATCGATCTCACATTCGGTCTCACGATCTCACTATCGATCTCACTATCGATCTCACTATCGAGCCCACGATCGGTCTCACAGTCGATCTCACTATCGATCTCACGATAGGACACCGACGGGACACCGACGGGACAACGGCGGGCCACCGACGGGACAATGTGGGCCACCGCTTGACAACACCGGGGGGGGAAACATTTGTGTTGGCGGACCCCTAGCGACAGCAGAGTGAACTCCTCTCGCCCGCCCACGCAGCTTCGCCTCGCCCGCACGCACGACACGAACACGAAACCGAAACCGATTTCCCGGTGGGGGGCTCTCCGTCCCACTTCGATCTCACCCCCTCACCTCCGATCATACCACGACCGTGGCGCCTAGCCAAATCTACTAGCAGAGCAGATCATACCATACTATGCTCGAGCTGTCAACAACATCACGGAACACAGCATACTATCACATAATTTGGTATAACAGTTTATGTCATGACAAAGTCCCGTTGAGCAGATCATACCATAACATGTCAAAGCATATGGTGGCAGGGATGATCATAACATAAACCATACCATAACCAATCATATTACATGTTTATATACATATATATATGTTGAGCGGAGCATCGTACCAGACGACGCATCGAACGTCACAGGCGTCACGGCGTCACGCTGGCCCGTCTAGAACATAACAGGACAGATTGGAGCATAACATGAACAAACGTGGCTACATGGAACACGGTTAAACCGTTTTGGACCCCAAAATGGCAGTTGTGCGGTGGTGGTGGAGGAGGAGGAGGAGGAGGACAAGTAGGGAGGAGAGGTCCGCCTCACCTCCCTCCTCTTCTTCCTCCTTCGTCGTCCGCCTCCCCCTGCTCCTCTTGCTGATGCTCTTCCACTTCCTCTTTCAACAGGTTGCGGCTCTACCCGTTTCGCACTGCACGTTTTCGAAGCTTGTTTTTTCGCCCCAGGGTTTCTTTCAGTTTCTTTCGTCAAGAGCTCTGGGGTTGTTGGATTTGGAGACAACGGAATTTGCCACCCAGTCCGACCGCCGCACTGGCCGAGACCACAGGGCCCCGCGCGCAGCGTTCCACCAATTAGGCGACCGCGCGCCGTCTGGAACAAACTCTTCAGGTTTCGGTGGGGATCGCTCAAAGCAGACTAATTTTACCATCCCACCGTAGCGTCAGGTATCGGGGGGGGGTCGGATCGGCCCCCGGTGGAGGGGTAACGGCAACGTGGTCGGGCCCAAAGGGTGGTGCCCTTAGCTCTTTACGACAACGCCGACGAGGAGGAGGAGGAGGAGGAGGACGACGACGACAACAACTATAACAACAGCGAGCGACGACGGCGACGGCGACGACGTCGACGGCCGCCTCTGAAGGCCTCTAGAGGCCTCTGAAGGTCTCAGCAGATCTCCAGAGGCTTCCAGAGGCGTCTGAAGGCCCTTGGAGGCCCCCGCAAACGACGACAACGATGACGAGAACAACCTCGACGACGACCGACGACGTTGACAACGACGATTCCGGCCGCTTCTGAAGATCTCCAGAGGTCTTTGGAGACCTCAGGAGAAACCCGGAGGAGGCCTCTGGAGGCGTCCGAAGGCCCTCCGAGGCCTTCGGAAACGACGACGACGACGACGACGACTGCGGCGACGATGAGGAGGACGACCAGGACGACGACGACGACGACGACCACGACGACGACGACCTCGACGACCGCTCCTGTCGGCTTCTGGAGGACCTCCGATGCTTGTCAGCACCACACCATGCCTGTGAGCACGACGCCATTCCTGTTGGGGCCCGGTAGCCCACCCCGCCCAGGAACGTGCGGATCCGCCGCTGGATGGAGGACCGTTTTCGGCAACTGCAGTGGGTGCGGTTACGCGGGGGTGTGGTTTGCGATGGGCGCCGTGGGGTCTCCCTGGTCCCGGCGTTGCGCCAAAGGTTTGATGAGCCACGACCAGCTTGAACGGGGTTCGTTGTCGGTGGCGTCGCCGACGTCATCCATGTGAGACACGAGGCCGCCTGCCCAACAGCGCCCGCTGTTTGGGTTTGGACACATGTTTGGGGCATCGTACCTATCTTGGCTCAAGCCATATTGTCTCCAGGCGCACACGTGCGCACTCCGAGGACGCACACATCTCTCACCGTATCTCCGTGGTACAGTCGACTTGCAGATGGCACATCTCCTTTTGATCGCTAGCCTCGTCGGGGTCCGCGGCGCGTCTGGTCTGGCCTCAGCAGACAACCTCCAGCTGGTGCTGCAAGCCAGGCAGAATTCGCACCGACAGCTATTGACGAGGAGGCAGCGTGCCCAGGGCGGTGCGAGCTCGACGAGGTGCGCCGACACGCGGGACGACTGGGAGGACGACGCTGGTAAAAGCTGCAGTGAGTACGCGGCACTGGACGGTTACAACGACGCAGGCCAAAGCCTTCACTGCAGTACTTTCGGAAACGAGAATTCTTCACGCTTCGCGCATCCCCACCAGCCCATTCCGAAGCCCTGCCCACGAGAGTTGACGGGAAAAGGGACGACGGGACACATCTAGGGAAACAAAGCGAGCAACCGGGATGAATCGAGAGATCTTGGGGAGCAAGGGGGTGGCCTTGGAAGGCCTCTTCGGGCCATCCCTGGGGGCTGCGTGGGGGCGAGGGGAAGAGGAGGAGGAGGAGGAGGAGGAGGCCTCTTGGGCGCCTCTTGGGTAGTCTCGGGGCCCTCTCGGGGCAGATCATGGGTCCTTAGAGGCCATCTTGGGCGTCTTGGAGGCCTCTTGGGCCGTTTTGGGGCCCTCTTGGGGCCGTCTTGGGGGCCCTTTGGGCCGTCATGAGGCCATCTTGGAGGTCTCTCTGGCGATCTTGGGGGCCTCGTGCGCCGTCTTGAGCCGCCGGAATGCAGAGAAGAAGCACATGCCAAAATCTTTCAAACATTGCGCCGTCTTGCGCCATCTTGAGGCCATCTCAGGCCGTCTTGGGTGCATCTTGGGCCGTCTTGCAGGCATCTTGGGGCCATCCTAGCCGTCTTGTAGGCCATTTTGGCCGTCTTGGAGGCCTCTTGGGCCCTCTTGGGGCCGTCTTTGGGGCCTCTTGGGCCGTCATGGGGCCATCTTGGAGGCCTCGTGGGCGATCTGGGGGGCCTCTTGGGCAGTCTTGAGCCGTCGGAATGCCGAAAAGAAGCAAATGTCAAGATCTTTCAAAGTCCTAAGGAAAGTCAATGATTTTGGCATCTTCGGGCCCTCCTGGAGGACCTCTTGGAGGCCTCTTGGGCCGTCATGAGGCCATCTTGGGGGCTTCTTGGGCCGTCATGGGGTTATTTTGGAGGCCTGGGCCGTCTCAGGCCATATGGAAGCTATCTCAGGCCGTCTTGGGTGCATCTTGGGCCGCCTTGGAGGCATCTTGGGGCCATGTTGGCCGTCTTGGAGGCCATCTTGGGCGTCTTGGAGGCCTCTGGGGCCGTCTTGGGGCCCTGGAAGGCTTCTTGGGGCCATCTTGAAGGCCATCGATCAAAGGAGGAGCTGGGATCACGTTCAGCCCCCCCCCCCGCAAAGAGGCCAAAATGGGGCCAAAACCTTAGTAAAACCCAGAGGGCCGGTGAGATGACGTTCAGCCCTCAGGGGAGCGGGAAGGGGAGGGGTAACCCCCCCCCGTAGGGGAAGGGATTGTTTGGGAGAGGGAAGAGAAATCTCGTTAGACCACCTGTCGCCCAAAGGGCTGGTAGGATTACGGCTACGGCAGGGCCAATGACGTTTGCTGCGACTGCGGCGGCGGCAACGGGGATCCAACCCCGATCCCGACGCCGAGCTCCACGCCCAGCCCCACGCCCAGTCCCACGCCCAGTCCCACGCCCAGCCCGTCGCCCAGCCCAACGCCCAGCCCACCGCAAGCGTCGCCGGCAGCCGCCACTGGCGATCCACACCTGCAGAACATGTTCGGTCAGCGGTTCGACTTGGCGAGGCCGGGCACGTCTGTCTTGGTCAGTGTTCCACGCGGAACGCCCGTCGAGGATGCGCTGCTTGTTGTAAAGGCCGATGCGTGTCGATTTGGGGCACATTGCTCGGACATGTATTTCCAGGAGATCAACGTCACAGGGGCGTGGGCGAACAAGGCGCGGCCTGGGGGCTTCCACTTCGACAATCGCGGTGCGCGAGACGAGACGCCGAAGTGGCTGAAACTCGGGCCGGTGGAGCTCAAAGTCGGCAACGGTCATACCGACAAGGGGCACCATTATTTGAACGTCTACGTCAAGAACCTTCAGCGCGTTGGGTTTCCTGTCGGAGGGCTGCTGGGAGAGGATGACCACGCGGAGGCTGCGACGCCTGAGGAAGGGTGCCAGAAGACGCTGTCACTGAAGGCTCGCCCGTATGGTGAAGCTGCGCATGGACAGGGCTCCGTCGCAATCGGATACTGAGCCGAGAGCTCCCGGCTCCGCGCGGCGCGCTCGAGCCAGCTCGCGATAGGACGGCTCGCCGGCCAGTCGCCGGCCACCCGTTCTTTGCGAGACGAATAGTATTATGGACGCGCCAGATGCCTCCAATAGTTTGTTTGGCTGAGAAGAGCCCATACTTTTCTTTTGTGCTTTCCCCGCCAATTAGGTCGTCTCGGGTGCCTCGCGGCTCATTCGGTTGAGAAGAGCCGGAGCTGTGGAACCGTTGATCTAGCAGGCGATCTTTGAAATTGGCGCCCGTGTCGTCTTCACACAGCATCACCGAACATATCATGACACGACAGCAGAGCATAGTGACACATGTTGGCAGAGCAGATCATCGTCTACTATACAGAACCGAGCCGTCAACAAACATATTAGCACATCACGTGCCAGAGCATACCATGACATAACAGACGATGACGATATAACACAGCATACCTGAACCTAACCGAGCTTAACAAAACACACCTTGACGTAGCGTATCATATCATATCATGCCATCATCAACTAACATATCATACCACGGCAGCGACGCATAGCCAAACCTAGTAGCAGAGCATATCATAACATACTATGCTCGAGCTGTCAACAACGTCACGAAACACAGCCTACTGTAACATAATTTGGTATAACCTATCATGCCATAACAAAGTCCCATCGAGCAGATCATACCATACCATGTCAGATCATATGGTGGCAGGGATGATCATATCACAAAACATACCATAGCCACTCATATCACATGTATCTGTATACATTGATATGTTACAGGGGGACATCGTCACAGACGACGCATCTATCGTCACAGGCGTCACGACGTCACGCTGGCCCGTCGAGAACAGAACAGGACATAATAGAGCATAACATGAAAGAACGTTGCTACATGGAACACGGTTGAACCGTGTTGGACCCCAAAACGGCAGTTGTGCAGTGGTGGTGGGAGGAGGAGGAGGAGGACAAGTAGGGAGGAGAGGTCCGCCTCACCTCCCTCCTCTTCTTCCTCCTTCGTCGTCCGCCTCCTCCGTCTCCTTTTGCTGATGCTCTTCCACTTCCTCTTTCAACAGGTTGCGGCTCTATCCGTTTCGTGCTGCACGTTTTCGAAACTTGTTTTTTCGCCCCAGGGTTTCTTTCAGTTTCTTTCGTCAAGAGCTCTGGGGTTGTTGGATTTGGAGACAACGGAATTGGCCACCATGTCCGACCGCCGCACTGGCCGAGACCACAGGGCCCCGCGCGCAGCGTTCCACCAATTAGACGACCGCGCGCTGTCTGGAACAAACGCTTCAGGTTTCGGTGGGGATCGCTCAAAGCAGACTAATTTTACCATCCCACCGTAGCGTCAGGTATCGGGGGGGGGGGTCGGATCGGCCCCCGGTGGAGGGGTAACGGCAACGTGATCGGGCCCAAAGGGTGGTGCCCTTAGCTCTTTACGACAGCGCCGACGAGGAGGAGGAGGAGGACGACGACGACGACAACAACTATAACAACAGCGAGCGACGACGGCGACGGCGACGACGTCGACGGCCGCCTCTGAAGGTCTCTAGCGGCCTCTGAAGGTCTCAGCAGATCTCCAGAGGCTTCCAGAGGCGTCTGAAGGCCCTTGGAGGCCCCCGCAAACGACGACAACGATGACGAGAACAACCTCGACGACGACCGACGACGTTGACAACGACGATTCCGGCCACTTCTGAAGATCTCCAGAGGTCTTTGGAGACCTCAGGAGAAACCCGGAGGAGGCCTCTGGAGGCGTCTGAAGGCCCTCCGAGGCCTTCGGAAACGACGACGACGACTGCGGCGACGATGAGGAGGACGACCAGGACGACGACGACCACGACGACGACGACGACGACCACGACGACGACCTCGACGACCGCTCCTGTCGGCTTCTGGAGGACCTCCGATGCTTGTCAGCACCACACCATGCCTGTGAGCACGACGCCATTCCTGCTGGGGCCCGATAGCCCACCCCTCCCAGGAACGTGCGGATCCGCCGCTGGATGCAGGACCGTTTTCGGCAATTGCAGTGGGTTCGGTTACGCGGGGGTGTGGTTTGCGATGGGCGCCGTGGGGTCTTCTTGGTCACGGCGTTGCGCCAAAGGTTTGATGAGCCACGACCAGCTTGAACGGGGTTCGTTGTCGGTGGCGTCGCAGACGTCATCCATGTGAGACACGAGGCCGCCTCGCCTGCCCAACAGCGGCCGCTATTTGGGTTTGGACACATGTTTGGGGCATCGTACCTATCTTGGCTCAAGCCATATTGTCTCCAGGCGCACACGTGTGTGCACTCCGAGGACGCACACATCTCTCACCGTATCTCCGTGGTACCGTCGACTTGCAGATGGCACATCTCCTTTTGATCGCTAGCCTCGTCGGGGTCCGCGGCGCGTCTGGTCTGGCCTCAGCAGACAACCTCCAGCTGGTGCTGCAAGCCAGGCAGAATTCGCACCGACAGCTATTGACGAGGAGGCAGCGTGCCCAGGGCGGTGCGAGCTCGACGAGGTGCGCCGACACGCGGGACGACTGGGAGGACGACGCTGGTAAAAGTTGCAGTGAGTACGCGGCACTGGACGGTTACAACGACGCAGGCCAAAGCCTTCACTGCAGTACGTTCGGAAACGAGAATTCTTCACGCTTCGCGCATCCCGACCAGCCGCCGTTCTTCCTAATTTGTTTTGCAGGTGCATTTCGCGCGTTCTCGCGCCAATTATCTTGCGCTGTGCCCCAGCCTCGGTCATACCGCCCTCTGGACTTCTCCTTGCGGGCCGCAAATCAAAAAAGTACCCCCACCAGCCCATTCAGAAGACCTGCCCACGAGAGTTGACGGGAAAAGGGACAAAGGGACACATCTAGGGAAACAAAGCGAGCGTCCAGGATGAACCGAGAGATCTCTGGGAGCAAGGGGGTGGCCTTGGACGGCCTCTTCGGGCCATCCCTGGGGGCCGCGTGGGGGCGAGGGGAAGAGGAGGATGAGGAGGATGAGGAGGATTGTCACGGCTGTCGTTTAAGGCACGGGTAATGTTTTACCGCTTCGTGCCCTAACAATGGTGGCATGTTATGTGCAACTCCAGTTCCAATTCACACATCAGAAAACACCGAAGTATCTGCGTCCTAAATCATGCGACCGTGCGTGGTGCAAACTGTTTGATATGCAATGTTTATTCAAGTGGGATGTAACCTGGAATGCACGAGTAAGGTCCCCCTACGGCTCTGAAGCAGGATGGTTTACAATGGCTTGGCCTCTTCCCGGAGGAGGGCCGCCCCGCGACCGTGAAGCACAATGATTTGCCCCGTGCCAGCCCCCGTTTCCCATGGATGCAACACTCATGAAGATGCGCCTACTACCACGCCTATGGTTTGCAACACTCGCGCCACCACCCTCCACTGCGCGGCCGATGGCCACCCATGGCTTACACGCGGGCATGTTTGTACGGTGGCTGCTAAGCCCCCCATCCCCATGCTTAATGCGGCCACCTATGGCCCGCGTGCTACTGCACAAACCCCAGGCCTGGCACGGTCTACCATCGTTTGCAAACTACCAACATGTCAAGGCATGAACCTACCTGACTACTCCTCCAAGACGTGGCCGTGGGGCGGGGCCAGAAGGAGGGGGAGGTGGAGGAATAGGGGAAGGGCGAAGGGGAGGAGGAGGGAACCGAGCAGCTACGGAACACTCTCCACAAGAATTCCCGCACCCCCATCGCGACGCTCTCAGTCCTAAACGAGGCTGCGCATGAGTTATCCCACTTCGTGGGATGACTGTTTCGGAGCTAACCTACTCGAACGCAATGCTGGGCGATCGTTTTCGGCCAAGCTAGATGTTACCAAAATCCCCCCCCCCTCGATCAAACGCAACGCTGGGGGACCGTTTTCGGCAAAGCTGGGCGTGAACAAACTCCCCCCCCCCCCTTCGAGCAGGGGGGGGCATTTTGTTAAGTGCAGCCGCATGACGTGATCCCCCCAACACTTTCAACGCCGTCCGCATGCTCTAACCAACCAAGAGGCACCGCAGCAGTGGTGGACCCGCGCTCTATGCGCACGATTTCTACGGATGACCATTCACTCGATACGCGATGCCCTATCCGATGGAGGCACGTGTGAATAACCGTGGCGGTACCCGCCCACTTCTTCAACCGCTTCGTGCCCTCACACTGGTGGCATGCTATGTTCAATTCCAATTCCAACTCAAACATCAGAAAGCACTGAATTATCAGCAACCTAAATCATGCTACCTTGCGTGGTGCAAACTGTTTGATATGCAATGCTAATTCAAGTGGTGTGTAACCTGGAATGCACGAGTAAGGTCCCCCCACGGCTGTGAAGCAGGATAGATTACAACTGCCTGGCCTCTTCCCGGAGGAGGACCGCCCCACGACTGTGAAGCGCAATTTCGTTGCCTCGTGCCAATCCCCGTTTCCCATGGATGCAACACTCATGAAGATGCGCCTACTACCACGCCTATGCTGTGCAACACTCGCGCCAATGCCCTCCACTGCACGGCCTATGGCCACCCATGGCCTACACGCGGGCCCTTTTGCACGGCAGCTGCTAAGCCCCCCACCACCATGCCTGATACGGCCACCAATGGCCCGCGTGCTACTGCGCAGACCCCAGGCTTGTTACGGCCTACTATGGTCTGCGAACTATCAACATGTCAAAGCATCAACCTACCCGGCTACTCCTCCACGACGTGGCCGGGGGACGGGGCCAGAAGCAGGAGGAGGAGGAATAGGAGAAGGAAGAAGAGCAGTAGGAGGAGGAGCCAGATAACGCAATACCAGACAAGAGACGCCTCTTCCATATTTACATGGGACATCTTCCAATGCGCGGGGACTGCGTGTCCCATCAACCGAGACTGTGCGTCCCATTTACCAGGACCGTCTGTCCCATCAACCGAGACTGCGCCATTTGCCAGGACTGTGTGTCCCATAAGCGAGACTGTGCGTCCCGTTCGCCAGGACTGCGTGTCCCATAACAGGGGCTGCGCGTCCCATTTGCAAGGACTGCGTGTCCCATAGCAGGGACTGCGCGTCCCATTTGATTTATCAGGGCTGTGTGTCCCATAGCCCATAGCTGGGACTGCGTGTCCCATACGCCTGCCCTCTGGGAGGACCGCCCCATAGGCCATAGGGCATAAGGGCTGGAAGGCTGGAATGCGGGTCGCACAGCATCACATCACAACCGCATCGCAATGCCCTTTGGTATCAATTATGGCTTGCGCACTATCAAGATGGCAACTACTGCACCTACCTTACTACTCCCCTCTGCGTGTCTGGGGGTGGGGTCCTACTCGGGGATCTTTCTCGCTTCAACGTGGCATACCGCTGCTGGGATACGTGAATCGACGGGGTTGTCCCAATCTCACCCTCCTCGGCGTGGCTGGGGAGTGAGATTCGCCCCAGCCCACGCTCATCGCTGTAATCAAGGGAGTTCGGGGTGCTGTAACTTCATTTGGATAGAGGAAGAGGGGTGCTTCTGGCGCTTCCGGGAACAGCCCGGAGGCGCCAATCCCAAAATCGAGGCGTTGCACGGAAGGACCCGAACCCCTCACGGGTACAGAAGGATGCATGGGTGCTTTACAACGATCAAAGATGATGCTGACAACAGCCCTAGGGCTACCTTCTCTCCTTGATCCGGCAGTTGTACATGTAATCATTCACCGCTGGGTGAGGTGATGGGCGTCTCAGGTGCCAGGCAGAAATTGCTGCAGTTTCTGTGGCACTATTTCGCAACAGCCCACGCTCGACAAACCTACCCAGATGCCCCCTCTTGGCGTGGCTGGGGAATGGAATTCGCCCCACCCCCCCCGGCGTGGCTGGGGAATGGAATTCGCCCCGTCCCACTCTCGACCTTCCCTCTTGCCCTTAGAGCTTGTGCATTCCGTTCTGCCCTTGATTTATGGCCTGAGCATTGTCAACATGTCAACGCATGACCCTACCTCACTACTCCCTCACGGCGTGGCTGGGGATCGGGGTCGGAGTAACGTAAATCGACCCTCAAAGAGATCATTCACATTAACATGTCCACATGCATGTGTCGAACACACATGCCGATCGACAGCCCGTTGGCCTGTGTCGCCATGGTGGCGAAACCCCAGTGCGCTCAGGGGAGGTGCTCTTCGGAGATCCCCCATCTCCTTACAGGCCGCCGCGTGCGTCCTCCCCGAAAACACCAGACTGGGGCCATTTACACCTTCGGCACGGGGAGGAGGAGGAGGAGGAGGAGGAGGAGGAGGAGGAGGAGGAGGAGGCCTCTTGGGCGCCTCTTGAGGCACTCTTGGGGCCTCCTGGGAGCTTCCTGGGGGCCTTATGGAGGGCTTTCGGTGGCCTTTGGGGGCTTCTTGGGGGCCTCCTTGGCCGTCTTTGGGCGTTCCTGGCTTGTCTGACGCCGTCGGACGCCGTCTTGGGGGCCTGTCTGGGCCCTTTTGGGGCAAAAGTGGGGGTTGAGAGGCCATATTGGGCGTCTTGGAGGCCTCTTGGGCCGTTTGGGGCCCTCCTGGGGCCGTCTTGGGGGTTTTTGCGCCCGTCATGGGGCCATCTTGGACGCCTCTTGGGCGAGCTTGGGGGCCTCTTGCGCCGTCTTGAGCCGTCGGAATGCTGAGAAGAAGCAAATGCCAAGATCTTTCAAACACCTACGGAAAATATATGGGCCTTTTTCGGGCCCTCCTTAGGCCCTCCTTGAAAACCTCCTGGACGCCTTTGGGCCGTTTTGGAGGCCTCTTGGGGGCATCTTTTTGGGCCTTCTTGCGCCATCTTGAGGCCATCTTAGTCCGTATTGGGTGCATATGGGGCCGTCTTGGAGGCATTTTGGGGCCATCTTAGCCGTCTTGGAGGTCATCTTGGCCGTCTGGGGGGCCTCTTGGGTCCTCTTGGGGCCGTCTTGGGGGCCTCTTGGGCCGTCATGGGGCCATCTTGGAGGCCTCGTGGGCGATCTTGGGGGCCTCTTGGGCTGTCTTGAGCCGTCGGAATACTGAAAAGAAGCAGATGCCAAGATCTTTCAAACACCGAAACACAACACATGATTATGGCCTCTCCGGGCCCTCCTGGAGGACCTCTTGGAGGCCTTTTTTCGGGCCCTCCTTAGGCCATCCCTCCTTGAAAACCTCCTGGACGCCTTTGGGCCGTTTTGGAGGCCTCTTGGGGGCATCTTTTTGGGCCTTCTTGCGCCATCTTGAGGCCATCTTAGTCCGTATTGGGTGCATATGGGGCCGTCTTGGAGGCATTTTGGGGCCATCTTAGCCGTCTTGGAGGTCATCTTGGCCGTCTGGGGGGCCTCTTGGGTCCTCTTGGGGCCGTCTTGGGGGCCTCTTGGGCCGTCATGGGGCCATCTTGGAGGCCTCGTGGGCGATCTTGGGGGCTGCTCTTGGGCTGTCTTGAGCCGTCGGAATACTGAAAAGAAGCAGATGCCAAGATCTTTCAAACACCGAAACACAACACATGATTATGGCCTCTCCGGGCCCTCCTGGAGGACCTCTTGGAGGCCTTTTTGGTCCGTTTTGGAGGCCTCTTGTTGGGCCGTCTCGGGCCATCTGAAGTCGCATCTTCGGCCGTCTTGGAGGCATCTTGGGGCCATCTTGGCGGTCTTGGATGCCATCTTGGGCGTTTTGGAGGCCTCTGGGGCCGTCTTGGGGGCCTCTTGGGGCCCTCTTGGGGCTCTCTTGGGGCCTTTTTTGGAGCCCTGGAAGGCCTCTTGGAGCCATCTTGAAGGCTATCGATCAAAGGAGGAGCTGGGACAACGTTCAGCCCCCCCCAAAGAAGCCAAAATGGGGCCACAACCACCGTAAAACCAATGATTTTGGCGCCCAGAGGGCCAGTGGGATAACGTTTCACCCCCCAAAGCAGGCCAACATGGGACCACAACCGTACTAAAACCAATGATTTTGGCGCCCAGAGTGCTGGTGGGACATTTTTCAGCCCCCCCCCCAAGAGGCCAACATGGGGCCCAAACCTGAGGAAAACCAATGATATTGGCTTCCTCGCCGAGGCCGTTTTGGACGGCCTGACACCTCGTGGGCTCACCCAAAAAAGTCCAGGGGAGGGGTAAGGGGAGGGGTAAACCCCTCCCCGTAGGGGAAGAGGGTTTTTTTTTGGAAGAGGGAAGAGGAATCTCGTTAGACCACCTGTCGCCCAAAGGGCTGGTGGGATTACGGCTACGGCAGGGCCAATGACGTTTGCTGCGACTGCGGCGGCGGCAACGGGGATCCAACCCCGATCCCGACGCCGAGCTCCACGCCCAGTCCCACGCCCAGTCCCACACCCAGTCCTACGCCCAGCCCGTCGCCCAGCCCAACGCCCAGCCCACCGCAAGCGTCGCCAGCCGCCGCTACCGGCGATCCACACCTGCAGAACATGTTCGGTCAGCGGTTCGACTTGGCGAGGCCGGGCACGTCTGTCTTGGTCAGTGTTCCACGCGGAATGCCCGTCGAGGACGCGCTGCTTGTTGTAAAGGCCGATGCGCGTCGATTTGGGGCACATTGCTCGGACATGTATTTCCAGGAGATCAACGTCACAGGGGCGTGGGCGAACAAGGCGCGGCCTGGGGGCTTCCACTTCGACGCTCGCGGTGCGCGAGACGAGACGCCGAAGTGGCTGAAACTCGGGCCGGTGGAGCTCAAAGTCGGCAACGGTCATACCGACAAGGGGCAGCATTATCTGAACGTCTACGTCAAGAACCTTCAGCGCGTTGGGTTTATTGTCGGAGGGCTGCTGGGAGAGGATGACCACGCGGAGGCTGCGGCGCCTGAGGAAGGGTGCCAGAAGACGCTGTCACTGAAGGCTCGCCCGTATGGTGAAGTTGCGCATGGACAGGGCTCCGTCGCAATCGGATACTGAGCCGAGAGCTCCCGGCTCCGCGCGGCGCGCTCGAGCCCGCTCGCGATAGGACGGCTCGCCGGCCAGTCGCCGGCCACCCGTTCTTTGCGAGACGAATAGTATTATGGACGCGCCAGATGCCTCCAATAATGTGTTTGGCTGAGAAGAGCCCATACTTGTCCCTTCTGCTTTCCCCGCCGATTAGGTCGTCTCGGATGCATCACGGCTTATTCGGTTGAGAAGAGCCGGAGCTGTGGGACCGCTGACTTAGCAGGCGATTCTTGAAATTGCCGCCCGTTTCGTCTTCACACAGCATCACCGAACATATCATAACATGACATCAGAGCATAGCGGCACGTGTTGACAGAGCAGGTCATGATCTATTTGCCAGAGCCGAGGCGTCAAACAACATACTAGCACATAACACGCCAGAGCATAACATGACATAACAGACGACGGCGATTAAATACAACAGAAGTGAACCTAACCGAGCTAAACAAAACACACCGTGACGTAACGTATCATATCATATCATGCCAGCATCAAATGACATACCTATACGACTACCCTTCGGGTGATAAGGAGGTGAGGGGGGAGGAGGCACCAACGTGTCACTCAATACATCTCGCGACCGATCCCACTATCGATCTCACTATCGATATCACTCGATCGATCTCACTATCGATCTCACTATCGATGTCACAATCGGTCTCACAACCGATATCATTATTGATCTGATTCAGTCGATCTCACTATCGATCTCACTACCGATCTCACATTCCGTTTCACTATCGATTTCACAATCGATCGCACACTCGGTCTCGCATTCGGTCTCACTATCGATCTCACTATCGATCTCACCATCGATCCCACATTCGGTCTCATAATCGATCTCGCTATCGACCGCACTGTCGATCTCACTATCGATCTCACTATAGATCTGACAATCGATTTTACCCCACAATCGATCTCACTATCGATCTCACTATCGATTTCACATTCGGTCTCACTATGGAACTGACGATCGATATCACAATCAATCTCACAATCGATCTCACAATCGGTCTCACTATCGATCTTTCAATCGATCTCATAATCGGTCTCACTAAGGATCTCACAATCGATCTAACTATCGATTTCACAATCGATCTCACTATCGATCCCACTATCGATCCCACTATCGATCTCACAATCGATCTCACTTTCGGTGTCACTTTCAATTTCACGATCGATCTCACTATCGATCTCACTATCGATCTCACTACCGATCCAACATTCGGTTTCACATTCGGTCTCACAATCGATCTCACTATCGATCTCACCATCGATCTCACTATCGATCCCACTATCAGACCATGGACCTCACCGTATATCTCACTATCGATCTCACTATCGATCTCACATTCGGTCTCACTATCGATCTCAATCGATATCACATTCGATCTTACAATCGATCTCACATTCGGTCTCACGATCTCACTATCGATCTCACTATCGATCTCACTATCGAGCCCACGATCGGTCTCACAGTCGATCTCACTATCGATCTCACGATAAGACACCGACGGGACACCGACGGGACAACGGCGGGCCACCGACGGGACAATGTGGGCCACCGCTTGACAACACCGGGGGGGGGAAACATTTGTGTTGGCGGACCCCTAGCGACAGCAGAGTGAACTCCTCTCGCCCGCCCACGCAGCTTCGCCTCGCCCGCACGCACGACACGAACACGAAACCGAAACCGATTTGCCGGTGGGGGGCTCTCCGTTCCACTTCGATCTCACCCCCTCACCTCCGATCATACCACGACCGTGGCGCCTAGCCAAATCTACTAGCAGAGCAGATCATACCATACTATGCTCGAGCAGTCAACAACATCACGGAACAAAGCATACTATCACATAATTTGGTATAACAGTTTATGTCATGACAAAGTCCCGTTGAGCAGATCATACCATAACATGTCAAAGCATATGGTGGCAGGGATGATCATAACATAAACCATACCATAACCAATCATGTTACATGTTTATATACATATATATGTTGAGCGGAGCATCGTAACAGACGACGCATCGAACGTCACAGGCGTCACGGCGTCACGCTGGCCCGTCTAGAACATGACAGGACAGATTGGAGCATAACATGAACAAACGTGGCTACATGGAACACGGTTAAACCGTTTTGGACCCCAAAATGGCAGTTGTGCGGTGGTGGTGGGAGGAGGAGGAGGAGGAGGAGGAGGAGGAGGAGGAGGACACGTAGGGAGGAGAGGTCCGCTTCACCTCCCTCCTCTTCCTCCTCCTTCGTCGTCCGCCTCCTCCTGCTCCTCTTGCTGATGCTCTTCCACTTCCTCTTTCAACAGGTTGCGGCTCTATCCGTTTCGCACCGCAAGTTTTCGAAGCTTGTTTTTTCACCCCAGGGTTTCTTTCGATTACTTTCGTCAAGAGCTCTGGGAATGTTGGATTTGGAGACAACGGAATTTGCCACCCGGTCCGACCGCCGCACTGGCCGAGACCACAGGGCCTCGCGCGCAGCGTTCCACCAATTAGGCGACCGCGCGCCGTCTGGAACAAACGCTTAAGGTTTCGGTGGGGGTCGCTCAAAGCATAATAATTTTAATATCCCACCGTAGCGTCAGGTATCGGGGGGGGCGGATCGGGCCCCGGTGGAGGGGTAACGGCAACGTGGTCGGGCCCAAGGGGTGGTGCCCCTAGCGCTTTACGACAACGCCGACGAGGAGGAGGAGGAGGAGGAGGACGACGACGACGACAACATCTATAACAACAGCGAGCGACAACGACGACGGCGACGACGTCGACGGCCGCCTCTGAAGGTCTCTAGAGGCCTCTGAAAGTCTCAGCAGATCTCCAGAGGCTTCCAGAGGCGTCTGAAGGCCCTTGGAGGCCCCCGCAAACGACGACAACGATGACGAGAACAACCTCGACGACGACCGACGACGTTGACAACGACGATTCCGGCCGCTTCTGAAGATCTCCAGAGGTCTTTGGAGACCTCAGGAGAAACCCGGAGGAGGCCTCTGGAGGCGTCTGAAGGCCCTCCGAGGCCTTCGGAAACGACGACGACGATTGCGGCGACGATGAGGAGGACGACCAGGACGACGACGACGACCACGACGACGACGGTGACGACGACCGCTCCTGTCGGCTTCTGGAGGACCTCCGATGCTTGTCAGCACCACACCATGCCTGTGAGCACGACGCCATTCCTGCTGGGGCCCGATAGCCCACCCCGCCCAGGAACGTGCGGATCCGCCGCTGGATGGAGGACCGTTTTCGGCAACTGCAGTGGGTGCGGTTACGCGGGGGTGTGGTTTGCGATGGGCGCCGTGGGGTCTTCTTGGTCACGGCGTTGCGCCAAAGGTTTGATGATCCACTACCAGCTTGAACGGTGTTCGTTGTCGGTGGCGTCGCAGACGTCATCCATGTGAGACACGAGGCCGCCTGCCCAACAGCGGCCGCGGTTTGGGTTTGGACACATGTTTGGGGCATCGTACCTATCTTGGCTCAAGCCATATTGTCTCCAGGCGCACACGTGTGTGCACTCCGAGGACGCACACATCTCTCACCGTATCTCCGTGGTACAGTCGACTTGCAGATGGCACGTCTCCTTTTGATCGCTAGCCTCGTCGGGGTCCGCGGCGCGTCTGGTCTGGCCTCAGCAGACAACCTCCAGCTGGTGCTGCAAGCCAGGCAGAATTCGCACCGACAGCTATTGACGAGGAGGCAGCGTGCCCAGGGCGGTGCGAGCTCGACGAGGTGCGCCGACACGCGGGACGACTGGGAGGACGACGCTGGTAAAAGCTGCAGTGAGTACGCGGCACTGGACGGTTACAACGACGCAGGCCAAAGCCTTCACTGCAGTACTTTCGGAAACGAGAATTCTTCACGCTTCGCGCATCCCCACCAGCCCATTCAGAAGCCCTGCCCACGAGAGTTGACGGGAAAAGGGACGAAGGGACACATCTAGGGAAACAAAGCGAGCAACCAGGATGAATCGAGAGATCTTGGGGAGCAAGGGGGTGGCCTTGGAAGGCCTCTTCGGGCCATCCCTGGGGGCTGCGTGGGGGCGAGGGGAAGAGGAGGAGGAGGAGGAGGAGGCCTCTTGGGCGCCTCCTGGGTAGTCTCGGGGAATGGGTCCTTAGAGGCCATCTTGGGCGTCTTGGAGGCCTCTTGGGCCGTTTTGGGGCCGTCTTGGGGCCGTCTTGGGGGCCCTTTGGGCCGTCATGCGGCCATCTTGGAGGTCTCTCTGGCGATCTTGGGGGCCTCGTGCGCCGTCTTGAGCCGCCGGAATGCAGAGAAGAAGCAAATGCCAAAATCTTTCAAACATTGCGCCGTCTTGCGCCATCTTGAGGCCATCTCAGGACGTCTTGGGTGCATCTTGGGCCGTCTTGGAGGCATCTTGGGGCCATCCTAGCCGTCGTGTAGGCCATTTTGGTTGTCTTGGAGGCCTCTTGGGCCCTCTTGGGGCCGTCTTTGGGGCCTCTTGGGCCGTCATGGGGCCATCTTGGAGGCCTCGTGGGCGATCTGGGGGGCCTCTTGGGCCGTCTTGAGCCGTCGGAATGCCGAAAAGAAGCAAATGTCAAGATCTTTCAAAATCCTAACGAAAGTCAATGATTTTGGCATCTTCGGGCCCTCCTGGAGGACCTCTTGGAGGCCTCTTGGGCCGTCATGAGGCCATCTTGGGGGCTTCTTGGGCCGTCATGGGGTTATTTTGGAGGCCTGGGCCGTCTCAGGCCATATGGAAGCTATCTCAGGCCGTCTTGGGTGCATATTGGGCCGTCTTGGAGGCATCTTGGGGCCATGTTGGCCGTCTTGGAGGCCATCTTGGGCGTCTTGGAGGCCTCTAGGGCCGTCTTGGGGCCCTGGAAGGCTTCTTGGGGCCATCTTGAAGGCCATCGATCAAAGGAGGAGCTGGGATCACGTTCCGCCCCCCCCCCCCAAAGAGGCCAAAATGGGGCCAAAACCTTAGTAAAACCCAGAGGGCTGGTGAGATGACGTTCAGCCCTCAGGGGAGCGGGAAGGGGAGGGGTAAACACCCCCCGTAGGGGAAGGGATTTTTTGGGAGAGGGAAGAGAAATCTCGTTAGACCACCTGTCGCCCAAAGGGCTGGTGGGATTACGGCTACGGCAGGGCCAATGACGTTTGCTGCGACTGCGGCGGCGGCAACGGGGATCCAACCCCGATCCCGACGCCGAGCTCCACGCCCAGCCCCACGCCCAGTCCCACGCCCAGTCCCACGCCCAGCCCGTCGCCCAGCCCAACGCCCAGCCCACCGCAAGCGTCGCCGGCAGCCGCCACTGGCGATCCACACCTGCAGAACATGTTCGGTCAGCGGTTCGACTTGGCGAGGCCGGGCACGTCTGTCTTGGTCAGTGTTCCACGCGGAACGCCCGTCGAGGATGCGTTGCTTGTTGTAAAGGCCGATGCGTTTCGATTTGGAGCACATTGCTCCGACATGTACTTCCTGGAGATCAACGTCACAGGGGCGTGGGCGAACAAGGCGCGGCCCGGGGGCTTCCACTTCGACGCTCGCGGTGCGCGAGACGAGACGCCGAAGTGGCTGAAACTCGGGCCGGTGGAGCTCAAAGTCGGCAACGGTCATACCGACAAGGGGCAGCATTATCTGAACGTCTACGTCAAGAACCTTCAGCGCGTTGGGTTTCCTGTCGGAGGGCTGCTGGGAGAGGATGACCACGCGGAGGCTGCGGCGCCTGAGGAAGGGTGCCAGAAGACGCTGTCACTGAAGGCTCGCCCGTATGTTGAAGCTGCGCATGGACAGGGCTCCGTCGCAATCGGATACTGAGCCGAGAGCTCCCGGTTCCGCGCGGCGCGCTCGAGCCAGCTCGCGATAGGACGGCTCGCCGGCCAGTCGCCGGCCACCCGTTGTTCGCGAGACGAATAGTCTTATGGACGTACCAGAGTCCTCCAATATTGTGTTTCAGATGCCTCCAATATTGTGTTTGGCTGAGAAGAGCCCATACTTTTCTTTTGTGCTTTCCCCGCCAATTAGGTCGTCTCGGGCGCCTCACGGCTCATTCGGTTGAGAAGAGCCGGAGCTGTGGAACCGTTGATTTAGCAGGCGATCTTTGAAATTGGCGCCCGTGTCGTCTTCACATAGCATCACCGAACATATCATGACACGACAGCAGAGCATAGTGACACATGTTGGCAGAGCATGTTGGCAGAGCAGGTCATAATCTATGTTACAGAGCCGAGCCGTCAACAAACATTAGCACACCACATGCCAGAGCATAACATGACATAACAGACGATGACGATATAACACAACATAACTGAACCTAACCGAGCTTAACAAAACACACCTTGACGTAACGTATCATATCATATCATGCCAGACTCAACTAACATATCATACCACGATCGCGACGCATAGTCAAACCTGCTAGCAGAGCAGATCATATCTTACTATGCTCGAGCTGTCAACAACATCACGGAACAACGCATCACATGACATATTTTGGTACAACAGTGCATGTCATGGCAAAGTCCCATTGAGCAGACCGTACCATATCATGTCAAAGTATATGGTGGCAGGGCTGATCCTACCATAAACCATACCATAACCAAGCATATTCCATATGTGTATATATACACATATACACATATATATATGTACATATATGTGTCAAGGGGAGCATCGTAACAGACGACGCATCTATCGTCACAGGCGTCACGACGTCACGCTGGCCCGTCGAGAACAGAACAGGACATAATAGAGCATACCATGACAAGAACGTGGCTACATGGAACACGGTTGAACCGTTGTGGATCCAGAAGCGGCAGTTGTGGAGAGGTGGTGGGAGGAGAGGGAGGACGAGTAGGGAGGAGAGGTCCGCCTCGCCTCCCTCCTCTTCCTCCTCCTTCGTCGTCCGCCTCCTCCGTCTCCTTTTGCTGATGCTCTTCCACTTCCTCTTTCAACAGGTTGCGGCTCTATCCGTTTCGTGCTGCACGTTTTCGAAACTTGTTTCTTCGCCCCAGGGTTTCTTTCAGTTTTTTTCGTCAAGAGCTCTGGGGTTGTTGGATTTGGAGACAACGGAATTTGCCACCCGGTCCGACCGCCGCACTGGCCGAGACCACAGGGCCCCGCGCGCAGCGTTCCACCAATTAGGCGACCGCGCGCCGTTTGGAACAAACGCTTAAGGTTACGGTGGGGATCGCTCAAAGCAGAATTATTTTAATATCCCACCGTAGCGTCAGGTATCGGGGGGGGGCGGATCGGGCCCCGGTGGAGGGGTAACGGCAACGTGGTCGGGCCCAAGGGGTGGTGCCCTTAGCTCTTTACGACAACGCCGACGAGGAGGAGGAGGAGGAGGAGGAGGACGACGTCGACGACATTTATAACAACAGCGAGCGACGACGACGGCGACGACGTCGACGGCCGCCTCTGAAGGTCTCTAGAGGCCTCTGAAGGTCTCAGCAGATCTCCAGTGGCTTCCAGAGGCGTCTGAAGGCCCTTGGAGGCCCCCGCAAACGACGACAACGATGACGAGAACAGCCTCGACGACGACCGACGACGTTGACAACGACGATTCCGGCCGCTTCTGAAGATCTCCAGAGGTCTTTGGAGACCTCAGGAGAAACCCGGAGGAGGCCTCTGGAGGCGTCCGAAGGCCCTCCGAGGCCTTCGGAAACGACGACGACGACGACGACTGCGGCGACGATGAGGAGGACGACCAGGACGACGACGACGACGACGACGACGACGACCTCGACGACCGCTCCTGTCGGCTTCTGGAGGACCTCCGATGCTTGTCAGCACCACACCATGCCTGTGAGCACGACGCCATTCCTGCTGGGGCCCGATAGCCCACCCCTCCCAGGAACGTGCGGATCCGCCGCTGGATGCAGGACCGTTTTCGGCAACTGCAGTGGGTTCGGTTACGCGGGGGTGTGGTTTGCGATGGGCGCCGTGGGGTCTCCCTGGTCCCGGCGTTGCGCCAAAGGTTTGATGAGCCACGACCAGCTTGAACGGGGTTCGTTGTCGGTGGCGTCGCAGACGTCATCCATGTGAGACACGAGGCCGCCTGCCCAACAGCGGCCGCTGTTTGGGTTTGGACACATGTTTGGGGCATCGTGCCTATCTTGGCTCAAGCCATATTGTCTCCAGGCGCACACGTGTGTGCACTCCGAGGACGCACACATCTCTCACCGTATCTCCGTGGTACAGTCGACTTGCAGATGGCACATCTCCTTTGGATCGCTAGCCTCGTCGGGGTCCGCGGCGCGTCTGGTCTGGCCTCAGCAGACAAGCTCCAGCTGGTGCTGCAAGCCAGGCAGAATTCGCACCGACAGCTATTGACGAGGAGGCAGCGTGCCCAGGGCGGTGCGAGCTCGACGAGGTGCGCCGACACGCGGGACGACTGGGAGGACGACGCTGGTAAAAGCTGCAGTGAGTACGCGGCACTGGACGGTTACAACGACGCAGGCCAAAGCCTCCACTGCAGTACTTTCGGAAACGAGAATTCTTCACGCTTCGCGCATCCCCACCAGCCCATTCCGAAGCCCTGCCCACGAGAGTTGACGGGAAAAGGGACGAAGGGACACATCTAGGGAAACAAAGCGAGCAACCAGGATGAATCGAGAGATCTTGGGGAGCAAGGGGGTGGCCTTGGAAGGCCTCTTCGGGCCATCCCTGGGGGCTGCGTGGGGGCGAGGGGAAGAGGAGGAGGAGGAGGAGGCCTCTTGGGCGCCTCCTGGGTAGTCTCGGGGCCCTCTCGGGGCAGATCATGGGTCCTTAGAGGCCATCTTGGGCGTCTTGGAGGCCTCTTGGGCCGTTTTGGGGCCCTCTTGGGGCCGTCTTGGGGGCCCTTTGGGCCGTCATGAGGCCATCTTGGGGGTCTCTCTGGCGATCTTGGGGGCCTCGTGCGCCGTCTTGAGCCGCCGGAATGCAGAGAAGAAGCAAATGCCAAAATCTTTCAAACATTGCGCCGTCTTGCGCCATCTTGAGGCCATCTCAGGACGTCTTGGGTGCATCTTGGGCCGTCTTGGAGGCATCTTGGGGCCATCCTAGCCGTCTTGTGGGCCATTTTGGCTTGACCCGGGCACAATACACGAAATCGGTTGACTCATATAAATCGAGAATGACCCTGCCAAGGCTCTGCATCGGCACCCTATTTGCAACACGTCCGTCCCCTATTTGCAACACATCCGCCCCCTGTTTGCAACACATCCGCCCCCTGTTTGTAACACATCCGTCCCCGATTTGCAAGACATCCGTCCCCGAATCGCATTACTTTTACTACTACTCCTACCACTACTACAGTTACTACTACTACTACTACTACTACTACTACTACTACTACTACTACTACTACTACTGCTACTGCTACTGCTACTGCTACTGCTACTGCTACTGCTACTGCTACTGCTGCTACTGCTACTACTACTACTACTACTACTACTACTACTACTACTACTACTACTACTACTTCTACTTCTACTTCTACTTCTACTTATACTTCTACTTCTACTTCCACTTCTACTTCTACTTCTGCTGCTGCTGCTGCTGCTGCTGCTGCTGCTGCTGCTGCTGCTATGATCCACCGTGCCGCGAGGCGCGAGGGGAGTTTTCTCCAGGCTCCAAGTGTTCGCGTTCCTGGACTAGGGGATTATAGTTTCCTTGGCGCTCTCGCGCGCTCTTGGGCGCTCATGGGCTCGGTCGCGTGTATTTTCCAAGAGCTAGAGCGCCCCATGACGGGCCCACAGGGCCCCAAGAAACGCCAAGAGGGCCCAAGATGCCTCCAAGAGGGCCCAAGAGCGCTCCAAGACGCCCAAGATGCCCCCAAGACGGCCCAAGAGGCCTCCAAGAGGCCCCAAGAGCGCTCCAAGAGGCCTCCCAAGAGGCTTCCAAGAAGTTAAAATCATTGAGTTCCACCTCGCCCTCCCCTCCTTCCTCCGGCACGTGTTTGGCGTGTCTGTTGCGCCATGCATGCGTTTGGTATGCTTTCTCATATCTTGCGCGCGTTTGGCGCGCCGCGCTCCAACTCCCGTACGCGCCGCATGGCGTATGGCTTGGAGTTTGTTTCAATATGTATTGCGTTCTCGCCTTTTCAAGCTTCCGGCGCTCCAGGACGGCCGAAGAGCGCCCCGAAGACCGCCCGAAGACAGCCCAAGAGGCCCCCAAGAGTCCCAAGAGGGTCCCAAGACTGCCAAAAGAGGGCTCCAAAACGGCCCAAGAGGCGCCCAAGACGGCCCCAAGATGGTCCTCAGAGGGGCCCAAGACGGGGAACACGAACTGACAATTCGAGACTTCCGCCCGAAAAGCCCCCAGGAGGCCCCAAGAGGCCTCCAAGAGACCCCAAGCGGCCCCCAACAGGCCCCCCAGAGGCCCAACAAGAGGCCCCCAAGAGGCCCAAAAAGAGGTCTCCCAGGATATCCCAACGAACATCCAAGAGGCCTCTATCTAACCTGCAACCCAGGCGCGGTGGCTGGATGGGCCGAAGGCCACTATATATAGCAACGACAGCAGCAGCAACAACAACACGCTCAAGGGAAGCGTAACCTCCTCATCATCCTCATCCTCGTCCTCCTCGTCCTCCTCGTTCTCCTCGTCGTCCTCCTCCTCTTCCTCCTCCTCCTCCTCCTCCTGCCGAATGGCCGACCCCTTCTCGTCCTACTCCTTCTCGTGGATGCCTGTGGGCTGTTGCCCCCGCGTCTCCTACATCATCAATAAGTTTGTCGATTCCCTTGCGAAACATCTCCGACATCCTGCATCTCACGCACGCGCATAGGGGAGGCGGTGATGGTGCACAGTAGTAGTAAGAGTAGTAATAGTGGCAGCAGCAGCAGGACTAGTAGTAGTAGTAGTCGTAGTAGTTGTTGTTGGTGGTGGTGTTGTTGTTGCTGCTGTTGTTGGTGTTGGTGTTGGTGTTGCTGTTGTTGATGTTGATGGTGTTGTTGGTGTTGGTGTTGATGATGTTGTTGTTGTTGTTGTTGTTGTTGTTGTTGTTGTTGTTGTTGTTGTTGCTGCGATTGTCGTTGTTGTCTTGGGGGATCTAGGGGCCCTCGGCGGCTTTAGTGTCTTGGGGCCTTAAGCGTCTTGGGTTGCCTTGGGGCCTTCGGCGTCTGGGTGTCTTGGGGTGTCTTGGGTGTCTTGGGGTCTCTGGGGGTCCTGGGGGGTCTGGGGGCGTCTTGGGGTGTCTTGGGGTCTTGGGCGTCTTGGGCTTGGGTGTCTTGGGCCGTCTTGGGGCGTCTTGGGGTGTCTTGGGGCCTGAGGCTTCTTGGTTGTCTTGGGTTGTCTTGGGGTCTCTGGGGGTGTCTTGGGGTGTCTTGGGGCCTTTGGGCTCTGAGTCTTGGGTGTCTTGGGGTCTCTGGGAGTTTTGGGGAGTCTGGGGGCGTTTTGGGGTGTCTTTGGGCCTCTGAGGGTGGGGTGTCTTGGGGCCTTGGGCGTCTTGGGTCTTGGGTGTCTCGGGCAGTCTTGGGGCGTCTTTGGGCCTGAGGCTTCTTGGGTGTCTTGGCGCCGTAGGCGCCTCCTCCTCCTCCTCCTCCTCCTCCTCCTCCTCCTCCTCCTCCTCCTCCTCCTCATCTCGCTTCATGCAGCCATTTTGGCCAGGCTTGCAGCATGCAAGCATGGAGGACGACGATTTTTTGTTGCAGTGGGCGTGGGCCCCAGCAGCGATGGCGACATGGACGTGGATGCTGGCCACGGCGACGACATGGCTGTGGACGCCGGCGACGGTCGACGAGGCCGCGGGAGCCGAGCGTGGACGCAGGCACAGAGATATCAAGCGGGCATGAAAATGACTCTTGGCCGCGTGAGAAAAGTGTACCGAAAGGAGATTCGCACCCAGGCCCAGGACATCGAAGAGTTCGCCAAGGAGGTTAGAGCCACTGGCCGTCTCGGCCAAAACATGGAGTTGATGGAAAAAACACGATTCGAGTCGGACGGTGTGCAGTTGGTTTTGAGGAAAAAGGGCACCAAACGAGTAGGTCGAACAATATCGTTTTCGTGGACTCGCATGCTCGAGCTGGCTCATGGGAAAAGGCACACTTTGACTGCGATGGCCGAGTCATATGCCACTTCCAGGAAGACTGTGCGCAGGATCGCGGAGATCTTGGCATACGCCGAGGTCGAGTGGGGCGCATACCTCTTGATGGAGCTGCGCCGGCTGGTCGAGCATGACAAGCCCGAGTACGCCGGCGTGAGACTCGCGTGGGACGAGACTCAAGACATCGGACACCGAAATCGTCGTCACCGTCATCGTCCCGCCACCCCCTCCTCACTACCTGTTCTCCTATATGCCACTGCGCCCTCCTCTTTCGCTCGCCCGTGGCCCAAACCAACGCTGGTATTATTTTGGGGCGGGTGGTCGGTTGGTGAACTTTGGAGGCTTCGCTCATTCACCGTGCCAGCGCAGCCTGCAATACTCTGCGCGGCGACGCTTCGACCACCGCCCAAAGCCGTAACACGTGACTTACCTCGTCTCTGAGGGGCTCTCATGGGACTTTCTTGGGCGACCGCGGGGTTCTGTCGGACTCCCGTGGGCCTGTGGGGCTGAGGCGCCGTCAAGGGGCCATATTGGGCTCTCTTGGCCCATCTGAGGAAGCCGCCATGCCGTCATGGCTCGTCTTGGGCCTTCTCGGCCTTCTCGGGGCTCCGTGGAGGCTCTATTGGGCGCGTCTTGGGGCATGAGGGGCTATTCGGGGGCTGTCTTGCGTGGAACCGTCTTGGCCGCCATGGGGTCTTGGGGGTTACTTGGCGTCCTCATTGGGCTCGTTAGGCTTCGTTTTGGCTCGCCCGAGGCCCCCTTGGATCCAACTTGAGCCTAGCGGCGCAAGAAACGCATCCGACTTGAGTTTCGCGCGTCTCTGCAGGAGCTGGTCAACTTGAGGGCCATCAGAGACGCGACCCAGAAGAGCCAGACAGGGAGTTCTTGGGAGGTGTGCGTGTCCAACCTGATGTTCTTCTGGGGCAACAGATCAGGGGCCCAGTTTTACGAGGTCGTGACGCCGCCTCTGCCTCTGCTCTGCAATGGAGCCGACCACTTGAATGCAGCGCTGCGCGAGCACCCTCTGGTGAAACCAATTATGGAATTTCAAGCGTGGCTCGAGACCCTCACTAGCTTCTTCTTCCGGCTGCGCGAAGCGGACGCACATCCGGCCAATTCTCGCTTGCATGCTCGCTGGAGGAATGAGGACACGAATGCCTTGAATAGCCCATCTTTGGATTCCATGGTAAAGTTTATGAACCATCAGACAAACCTCGTTTGTGTGTCCGCAGTTGACCTGGTCGGAATGAAAGTTATCAATGATATGTATGCGTCCGTGCGATTCTTCAAGATGGGTGGGCACTACTTGCGTATGGTTGCAGCAGTGCGGGTGTATCTCCAGGGCAACGATCGCGAGCACGTCGTTTGGAATCGCTCGCCATCTGCGCAACAGGTCACGGAGGCGCGAGCATGCGCTGAGGAACTCGTAGCTTTCTTGATCGACACTTGGGACGGCGACGTTTCCACGCCTGCTGGCAGAGCTGCGAGGGCGCGGTGCAGCGAGACAGTTCGACGGTGCTTTACGCGTACTTTGTTTGGGCCGATGTGGAGATCTAGCGCGGCGATCGTCATCTACGACATCGGTCAATTCCAGAGCATGGACCAATTGGTTGAGGAGACGGGGACTGCCATCCGAGAGATCTTGATGAGGCATATGCCTTCAGAGCCGGCACTATCCAAGTGGACCAAGCTCATGCCGTGCGCGAAATTCTGCTGGCAGACGGGCGTGCACGGCCTCCTCCACGAGCTGATCAAGATCGCAGGCCGAGGCTTTGACTACCCCCAGGGCGCAGGTCCAGTGGGCATCGGCGACGCAAGCGCCGACCCCGATGTTGAGCTTACTTGGCATCAGCTTGCAGGCTCTCGGTTGCGGAGAACATTAGTCTTGACGTCTAGCTTCGAATCTCGCTTCCACATGCACCTCATTTGCGTCGCAGTGCAACCCTGCCGGCTATTGCATCAACACTTTTTGAAGCTGGCGAACAGGACTCTGTCTTTGTTCCAAATCCTATCCCACAGGGGGGAGAGGGAGGTGGAGGAGAGGCAGGAGAGGGTGGAGACTATATTATGAGCAGGGCGGGCAGAGGGTACATTAAATTGGGATAGGATGGGACATAACAGCGGTCAGGACTGTCAATGTGAGCAAGCGTCCTGCTGTCTACGAACTGATGGATGGCCGCTCTAGCCTCCCGCGGTACGTTTGCCAGTACTACAGCTCCATGGCGCGCGGCGCGGTGGGCGGCATCCGTCTGATCTGGGGATTATCCGACCATGATACCTTGGAGGAATGGATGGTTGCGCATCCTGCACTTGCTCGCTCGGTGCGACGCGTCGCCCTCCATGCAGCTGCCTGGGTTGCTCGCAGGTTGCAAGAGTGAGCGTCGCAAATATACCTTTGCACCGACCCCTGCCCAGCTCCCCAGTTCTAGCATGTGAGAGGTTCCGTGAGATAGAGAAGAGAGAGAGAGAGAGAGAGAGAGAGAGAGAGAGAGAGAGAGAGAGAGAGAGAGAGAGAGGGAGAGAGAGAGAGAGAGAGGGAGAGAGAGAGAGAGAGAGAGAGAGAGGCTGTCGAAGCTCCCAGGGTCCCAGGTGTTATCCAATAGGATTTCGGATCCATTTTGGGGCGTGCCGTTTTGCCCGGGCACTCTGCCAATCGCGATCGTCGAAGAGTGCTTGCATTGAATTGGTTGTTGCTTTCCTTTGTTCGGGGTCCGCGGCCAATTGAATTGGGCCAATTGTAACTCATTGTCATTGTTTGTGTTTGCTCCAGGCTGGTTGAGATATTCAAAAAGCTCCACTGGAAGCTCTTGTCAATCGGTGATCCGCAGCTTCCGGCAGACCGCAGAGACAGCGTGATCTCGACTCTGAAGGCCGCGAACCAGCGCTGCTGCCCCGCCGGTTTCCCCCGGGGTCTCCGCGCCCGAAACATCAGCGAGAACGCATTGCAGACAATCGTAGCATGTGCCATGTTATGCACAGCCTGGCTCATCCGCATGTCGATCGCGGCCATCGGAAGGATGCATGCACGACACCGCCGGCTGCGCCGCAAGACGTTGCCGCGGCCCCAGTTCGCAGCGCTTGCCGTGGCATTGGATCAGCGGGGGCGCTGGACAGGTAAGCATGAACATGTACAGCAACGGTATGAACAGGAGTCGCAACAAGAGAATCAGGAGCAATATATTTTCTGCATTTCTGGAGGCGGAGACGGTGGAGGCGGCGGAGGCGGCGGAAACGGCGGCCAGCCAAAAGTTTCCACAAGGGGCAAGCCGGCGAAAGAGTTATTTAGAGACGACTGGATGAAACAACAGAAGGATCTGGGTAACCGCATGAACTTTGTTTCGTCAGAAGCTTGGCGACTGGTTGACGAAGAGTTCCAGAAGTTGTCCGCTGCCAGCCGCCTTAACTACGAGACGCAGTCGGCCGCTGCGAAAGCAGCGGCTGCGGTAGAGCGTCGGCGCAGAGCAGCAGCAGAGCGCCAACGTAGAGAGCCCGCTGATATTGCTATCGCCATCCAGGAGCCCGAGCCAGATGTCCAAGGGGCTGGGCAGGAGGTTATACCACCGCATGATTTCGGCATGCGGGACATGAATTTCTCGACGCTGGCTTTGCCGTCCACGGCCAGCCGCCGCCTACAGCGGTCCGTTGACTTCGAACCTTACGTGCCTGAAGATACTCCTGTGCATCCCGACGTGCTCAACAACTTCTACAATGGCCTGCACCCATTCGACAAGAAGAGAACAATGACGGGCGCCCAACTGGAGTGGTGGAGGAAGTCAGAAAAGATTGCTGGAGCGAGGCCACTTCCGAAACACGTGGACTATGGCTGCGAGTGCGGCGAACTTTGTCGCACGAACACTGAGACGGGCATTTTGCAGTATCAGGGTAGGCTGATATCAGCTATTTTGAAGTTGGGCAAGGACTTTGCTCCGTCTCGGAAGCTTGCGAAGGTGGCCCTTGCCGATATTGTGTCGGCTGCTGAAGTTTACCCCATCGCAGCAGGAGCCGACCTTCCGACTCCCAAGGTTTATTTTTACGCCATGGTCTCAGGTCTCGGCAGGTTGAGTACCGACGACGAGCTGATCAACTTCTTCGAGCTTCAATGCGAAGGAGGCGCCGAAGCAGCCAATGCTCCTTTTCTCGGGCATCGTCTTGGGAAGCCGCCGGGGCCCTTTCGTCATGCAAGGTGCGGCCGCGAAGTCACCTTTACATCTGGCGCTGCATGGCCCGATGGTTTTGGCAACCGAGGAACAAGTGAGCGCACTTTGGACATCCGCCGATGTTGGTGGTGCACGTTCCGATCGCGTTGTCTTGTCTGTCTTGGAGTGGCATCTGGTGAGTGGTTGTTTCGACCGGTACCGCATCAGTGGTGCACGCGCAGCCGAAGAAGGCGGTAGAGTGGAGGTCACGTACAAGCAGCCCGCTCTTAAGAAAGTCCCCAAGTGCCAGGTGGTCAATTTCCTCGACGATATGGCTGAATCTGATGCAGCCAGAGCTCATGGTGCACAACGCCCAGGCCATGACGCAAGTGCAGACCAGCCTCAGAGAGAGCTCGACCCCTTCGACCTCTATCTGGCAGACATGTTCGACGACGGCCCCCTCGGAGAGGAACGCCGCAGTATGGTTCAGGACTGCGCGATCGTAACAGCCGGACGTGGAGGAAGGGGAGGGAGGAGGGGAGGGAGGCCGATGTGGAGGAGGGCGAGGAGGAGGAGGAGGAGGAGGAGGAGAAGGGAGGGGAGGGGCTGAGGGCTGAGGGGGGAGGGTTTAGACGAGTGGGGGGCGGCCGCCGCGGCCTCCACATCTCAACGCACGACGTGGCCCACCATTTTTTGAACGTCTGAGTCACGGGGTCGTAGGACCACCTGGGGGCCGGGGCCGGGGCCCTGGGCGCCCGCTGCCCCCCCCCCACCCTGCCCCATCCATCCCCCCCTCCTCCCCCTCCTGCTCCTCTCCCTCTTCCTCGTCCTCCTCCTGGGGCTCGGGCCCCCTCGTCACTTCGTCCCCCCAGCACCTCGCGCCCCCTCTCTTCCTTCGATTCTCCCCCGTCCCCTCGGCCATCCTCAGTTACCCTCTAACTGCCGCTGGGGGCGAAGGGGGGTTTGTCAACTCCCCGCCCGTTCAGCGCGTCGCCGCTGCTGGATGCTGCCTCGTTCCCGTTCTCAGGCATCGCGGGGCTCGCCGAACGATAGGGAAAGCGCCCGCCCTCGCGTAGAACGAACGCGCATTTCGAGGGGGGCCCAGCCGCGGCCGCGACCAAGCTCCAGGGGCGGGGGCGACCAGGGGCGGAGCGGAGCGGGGCGGGCGCGTTTCCTCTCGCGTTATCTCGAGGGGGCGGCGGCGGGCGGCGGGGGGGCTGCTCCTGGCAGCGCGGGGCCCGGGGCGCCGAGCTGATTCTGAGTCGCAGCGGCGCGGGCGGGAAGGGGGGGCCAGCCCGCCCGCGCGAAACCCCGACCCATCCATCCCGCCCAGGTTCCGAACCGCCTTGCGCCGCGGCGGCAGGGCCCAGCAGGGCCGCAGGAGGAAAGATGAATGGGGGGGAGAGGGGGGAGAGGAGGAGGAGATGAGGAGCGAGTGTAGCTTTGTGGTTCAATTCACTTTGGGTTCGGCTTGCTCGCTTCTTGGCAGAATCCTCTCGCAGATCTTGCTGGGCGCGATGGCCGAGGCGGCCGCGCAGCCCGAGAAGCAGCCCGACGGAGCGCAGGTCCACCGCGAGTCGCCCGCGACGGCCGCGAAGCCCCTGTCGGGCCTGTCCGGCCCGCTGGGGCCCGAGCCGTCGCCGTCGCCATGGGCGGGTTTGAGTTTGAGCGGCGCCTTGTCAGGCAAGGCTCAGGGCCCCAGCGGCGGCAGCAAGAAACATAAGGCATCGTCATCTGCGGGCGCGACCACGGAGTCGCAGAGACAGGGCGTGCCTCCCCAGTCTTCAACGGATGCCCACGATCAGCTATATGGTGATCGCGAGTGCATTGAACAGCGCTTCCCCGACCGCTCGGGCCAGGAGCGGTATGAGATCTGCGAGAGGAGTTACGGGCAGGGTCGCGTCAGGGTCAACATCTGGGGTCCAGGCGGCGAGCGCATGCTGACTCGCCACCCCGTCATTAACCCGCGCCAGGTGGAGACAGCGGTGGCCAAGTACGCTGCTGGGGTCCTCAAGCACGGGATCCTGAGCACCTTCCGCGGCGCCCTGATGGGCGTCAAAGCAAAGGAGACCGACTCGAACAAGAAGCCTGTCACCCTTGGGTCTTCCGGCGGCCCACCAGTGGTATGGGTGATCGCCGGCGGGTCGCTGACAGCTGCCATCTACGTCGCCGAGAGGATGGGCCCGGACAACAAGTTCATTGTGCACCTCCGCACGAACGGTCTCGAGATCTATCTGTGGCACGAGGACACGCCGCATGGCGTTCTTGCCTGGATCAAGGACTCAGAGGGGAGAGGGTAGCGAGAGGGAGGGAGGGAGGATGGGGGGGGGGGGGGGGGGAGGCGAGAGGAGGCGGCAGATGCGGAGGGGGAGGGGGGGACGAGGACGCAGGCGAGGAGGAAGAGACGAGGACCTCGGAAGGAGGAGGAGGAGGAGGGAGAGGAGGCAAGGAGGAGGAGGAGGATGGAGGAGATGGAGGAGGAGGAGGAGGAGGAGGATGAGGAGGGAGGAGGAGGAGTGAGGAAGGGGAAAAAAAACAAGGGGGGGGGAGGAGGGGGAGTGGTAGTGGGGGGGGGGTGGGGGGGCGGGGGAGTCGATGAGGAAGGATGAAGGGGGATGAGAGGAGAGGATGAGAGGGCCGTCCTGCACATCTGGACGCCCCTTCCCTCATTTCCTCCTCCCTCCTCCCTCCTCCTCCTCCTCCTCCACCTCCTCCTCCTCCTCCTCCTCTCCTCCTCTCCCTCCTCCCCCTCCTCCTCCTCCTCCTCCTTCCTCCTCCTTCCTCCTCCCTCCTCCTCCTAACTCCTTCTGTGCGTTTCCTTCCTGTCCTGGTAGTCTACTTCTTTTAACCTCCTCCTGGCCTTCCTCGCTTTTTCCTTCCCTCTCCGTCTTCTACCCTCCTCCTCCTCCCCTTATATTTGTTGTGTATTTTGGAAATTTGCTTTGTGTTATTTTTCCTTACTGTTTTATTTTATTTAGTTGTTGTTTCTCGCCCTCCTCCTCCCCCCTCTCCTCCCCCCCCCCCCCCCCCCGCGCCCCTTTCGCCCCCCCCCCCCCCCCCCCCCCCCCGACCCAGATCGGCCCCCAGCCCCCCCCGCGATCGCTTTCGCAGGACGAGGCGAACAACTGGCACATGGGCGTGTCCACGACGTTCCTCGAAATGCGGACTGCCGCGGGGGGGGCGGCGTCTGCGTCGGGCGGGGGAGAGGAGGGCAGGAGGGCCCGGGCCCGGGCAACCTAGGGCCTCGGCGGGCCTCGGGGGGAGGGGCGAGAGAGGCTGGGCCGGGGGGGGCAGTCGGTGGGGGGGGGGCCGGGGGTTCAGGAATGCGCCCGGACCCGGGGCCTCAGGGGGGTGGTCCAGACTTTGGATTCCTTATCCAAGGTCCCCACGCCGCCGTATTCGACATGAATACTACGCCCCCCCCCCCCCGGCGTTGGGGCACAGACTGGCGGGGTGTCAGACTTGGCGCGAGCGCACCTAGTCTCGGCACCTGTCTCAGCTAGCCAGGTTGCACGAGGTGAGCCAGCTTGAGGCGAAGTGGAACGCGCACAAGAGGAAGGAGTCTATCGATTACAACTCCCTTCCCAAGTCTGGTCCTGGATGCTATGCTTCTCTTCGGAGGCAATGGACAATCGGCGCATTTGGAGGGATGTTCAACAATTCTGACAACCTGGTGCGGACGTGCAAGGCGTGGTTCGATACACTTCAAAGGTAGCCTCCGGCCCCTCCTTTACTCAATTACTCTTCCCCCCTCCTCCTCTTGTCCCTTCTCCTCCTCCTCCTCCTCATCCAATTCCTCCTCCTCGCCCTTCCCCTTACTCCTCCCCCTCCCCATGTAGAAAGGTTGGGCGTGTACCAGAAGTTTGTGGATATGTGCGGCAGCGCTGGCGGGGTGGACTTTCTTCGCCCTGGTCTCACATCAACCACCGTGATCAGCGTCTGCGCAAGCCTGACGGAGACGCTCGTTGAGGGGTTCAGCGACACATTGGAATCACACGTGCTTTCCTTGGTTCTCACCGAGCTCTTGAAGTTCGCAGTTCCCTGGGTTCAGCCTGATGGGGCCCCCGCCGTGTGCGATGCGTGGTTGTTCCAGACGACCGCTTCTCTTTCCATGCTGAGTCTGTTGCGCACGCCGATGGCTGGATCGACTACGTACAAGGCCCAGGCGGGCCGCGGCGGGCAATGCGCTCTGCTCGTCTCTTCGACCTCTCCTCGGGCTCCTCCTCTCCTCTCCCCCTCCTCCGCCTCCTCCTCGGCCCCCCCCTCTTCCCCCTCCTCTCCTCCTCCTCCTCCTACTCCTCCTCCTCCTCCACCTCCTCTCCTCCTTTTCGCTTCCCGCCCCCCCCCCCCCCCCCCCCCCCCCCCCCCCCCCCCCCCCCCCCCCCCCCGCCCCCCCCCCCCCCCCCCCCCCCCCCACCCCCCCCCCCCCCCCCCCCCCCCCCCCCCCCCCTGCCCCGCCCCCCCGGCCGGCCTGCCAGAGGCGAGCGCGGCGAAGGCGAAGCCCAAGCCCAAGGCTAAGGGCAAGCCCAACGCCGAGCCGCCGAAGAAGAGGGCGAGGAAGGGCGCGTTGCTGGCGCTCGGAGGAGGAGGGGGAGGAGGAGGAGAAGGAGAGGAGGAGGAGAAGGAGAGGAGAAGGAGAAGAAGGCGGACGGAGGAGAAGGAGAGGAGCAGGCAGAGGACGTGGAGGAGGAGGAGGGGGATGGGAGAGAGGAGGGAGGAGGAAGGAGGAGGAGGAGGAAGAGGAGGGATGGGAGAGGGGGGCGAAGTAGAGGGAGGAGGATGATGAGTAGCAGGCAGGAGGAAAGGAGATGGAGGAAGGAGGAGGAGGGAGGGGGAAGAGGAGATGCGGAGAAAAGAAGTGAATAGGAGGAGGAGGATGAGGAAAGGCGTGGGGGGGGGGGGGGGGGGGCCCGAGGTGCCGGACGAGGAGATGACTTTGTCAACTTCTGGCGCCCGCCAGAAGTACTGGCTCGACGACCTCGTCGCCTGCGTCTACAATCCGCTGAAGTTCATCAAGGACAACCAGGTCATCGAGTCCGACGTCTCTCGCGCCATCTTCATCGGCCTGCAGTTCTGTTTCACGAAGAAGGCTGTGCAGCAGGCCGCGATTTACACAAAGTGGAAGCCGCTGCGCAAGGACCTCCGCGAAATGATCATCCGCTCTCACGGGGTGGCGCTTCGGTCCGCGGAGATGCCTGGCGAGCCGCTCGGAAAGTTGGCGACCTCTGATGAGATTACCAAGAAGGTCTTGGAGCTCTTGCACGAGAACGGCGACGGCGAGGACAACCCGGGCAACGAGGCCATCGCCGAGGAGATCTCGAAGCTGTCCATGAGCGTTCCCGCCATCGGCGTGCTGAAGAGGATGGCTGAGGACCAAACGTTTGTCAAAGCGTTCCTGTCTTTCCTCTCGCAGAACCTGTCGTCGCTCACCCCGTGCGGGCTGCAGCCTGCTTGCCGAGAGCTGTCTGACAAGACCGCAGTTGCAGTTGCATGCGCGTTGCGCGGGGGCATCGCTGATGACGCCGCGAAGGTGAGGATCGTGTGCGACGCGATCGCTGTTGAGTTGTTCAAGGCCGTTCCCACGCGCTGGATTGAGTTCGCTTCCCACGTCCAGGGCGCGCTGGACTCCAAGAGCTTCCAGAATGAGCCGGAGGATAAGACGTCTGTCCTGTCGTTCAAGGTGTTCAGGTCCAAGTCGGATGTTTCGAGGGTGCTTACTCTGCGGACATTGTACTTCCGGCACTGCGCCGCCCCGTGGATCCAGGGCGTCGAGAAGATCACGACGGACGATTACTCGCATGTATTGATGTGGATCTACGCGGCCCAAGCAGACGTGGCCTCGTTCGTCGAGTCCAGCTGCGGCGACTACTGCTCGGCTGAGCTGTTCTCCGATCGCTTCCAGCAACTGATCAATTGCTCCATCGTCACCGACTCCGACGGCAAGCGTCGCGGCCTCGACTGCGAGGAGATGAAGGCGGCCATGGGCGAGTTGCGGGAGAAGAATGAGCAGGCGAGCGATGCGGCGGCGGCGGCGGCAGAGGGGCCCTCCGACGAGGTGGTGGCCTCCGAGGCGCCGAAGCAGGCTGTGGAGCAGACGGCGAGATCGCTCGAGACGTCGGAGCGGTTGATGGACCTGCCTTCCATCCGCGCGATGTTCTCGGTGGCCCCAGATGGGAATCAAACTGGGAGAGAGCTCGAGGTGCCCGCGATGGCCATTAGGACCCTCGTCCTGAACTTGGAGTCGAAGTTGTTCGACTGCGCTTTCCACGGCACGGCCCCGACTCTGCTGAGCCCAGACAATTGCGACGGCGGGAGCGGCAATCTCAAGGGGTCCCCGTTCTCCGGTGAACCTGGCCTTTCCTGGGTCAAGGGCTCCAAAAGCGTGACGCCGAGCATCGCTCTCAACATGGTCGGGCACGTGTCGTGCGCGCCAGCTGTGGGCGCATGCATGGCATGCGCGTTCGGGGGCGAGAACGGCGACCAGAATGAGATCTTCTGCAATCCTACTGGCACAGATTTCTCTACGCCTGAGTTCGTGCCAGCCTGGCTAGTGCACGTCATCGACGAGGAGGAGGAAGGCGTCGGCGGCGGCGGCAATGACAAGTACTACGGCGATCTCAAGATGACGTGCGAGGAGAAGAAGTTCCCGTACGCTCACCGCTACAGCGTGTTCGCCGAGGACCCCAGGGAAACGGAGGAGGAGGAGGATGGGGGGGGAGGAGGAAGAGGGACTGAGGAGGCCCTGAGGAGGCCCCCCCGTCCGCTCTTGCAGGAGAAGGTCATCCAGCTCGATGTGACCGTGATCCAGCTCACGCTGCCCTGCGACGAGAAGGTCGCCAAGATGATCAATGCGGCGCCCGTGGGGTCGCGATTCCGTCTGGTCCGGGGGCCGATTGCGAAGCGGGTGTCCGTCAAGCCGAGGAGGAAAGGCAAGGGCGCCACCAGGGGCAAGGGCTCGGGCAAGAGCTCGGGCTCATCGTCATCGGGCCCGGGCCCGTCGGCGCCGTCGGTCCCTGCGGAGGCTCGGCACCTCGCCCAGTGAGCTCTAGGCGAGTAGAGGATGAGGATGAGGAGAAGAGGAGGTGGAGGAGTGGAGGAGGATTGGGAAAGTCAAGTAAGCAAGCCATGCATGATGCATGGGCTGCTGCAGCCGTCTGCGCCGTCGGCCCTCGACCTCTGCCCTGCCCCCGCTCCCTTCCCTTCTCTCGCGCTCCCCCGGCAGTGCCGCTGCTCTCGCAGCTCCTCTGAGTTTTTCTTTGAATTTGCGTTGCCCGCCGCCGCCCGCCTCCGCGTCTGTCTG